TATAAATTTAATAAAAAAATATTAAGAATAAATTCAATAAAATTTAAAAAATTTATTAAATCATCATACTCACATATAATTTTTAGGAAATTTTTCTATAAGGGGTAGGGGGTTTTTATGAGGGGTAGGCCATCCATAAGGGCTTTTTGGGTGGCTGAAAAGTTGCAATATATCATTTGAAAACCAATAAAAAGTTTATAATTCAACATATGCATACCATTAAAACATCTCAATAATATTTTTTTGTTTATTTTATTATAAGGGATAGTTTTTAAGGGTTGCAACTTTGTAATGCGTCGTAAGCTTTCTAATAAATAACAAAATAAATGCAATACATTGTGAATGCACCAAAAGAATATTTTAAATTGTTAAAAACTTTTTTCTATTTCTTTGGCCATTGAAGATTAGTTTTTAAGGATTTTTAAGGGTAAAAAGTAATTAAATTTCATAAATTATATTAAAAAACATGAAAGGAACTTTATTCAACATATTTGAACATGAATTGAATCTTTAAAATACGTAAATTTGCGATTTTCGCATTTTTTTCGTACAAGGGTAGCTTTCACCCAAAATAGAAAAAAGCACACATCAAGACAATATAACTTTTGAAGTGGGGGGTCAGATGAGCTTGTATGCAAATTTTCAGGAAAATCCCTGATATCCGAAAAAATTGGGAGCTTTTACTTTATTTTCGCCTTCAGTCACTGGACCAACGTTTTGAAGTAGATATCAATGAAACCCATTGACCACCATTTGTTTCACCCTGTATTTTTTTATACACCACATTTTGTTGGTTTTGTAAAGTATTAGTAGACAGATAATTAAATTTTAAAAGTTCTTTTCCCTTTGACACTTGATACGGCTAATATTAAACAAGAAAATTGGATTGTATCAATTATTTTAAAGTAAGAAAAAAACAAACAACGAATAAGGCACCGTTAAATTTGTACATATTAATAACTTCTACAACATTTATTGTGGGGGTAGAAAGTACACTTAAAATTTAAAAAAAGTATTCATAACTAATTCAAAATTGTTTCCAAATATCCTGTCGAATGACGTCAGACAATGTTCTTTACTGCTAAAAACCTAGGTTATGCATATCTTGCACACCTAGAAATTGTATTTGGTAATTTAATCTCAATTAAACTAGTTTGATCAAAACCGTCACAATTTTCACTCAAACTCTATGAATCAACCTGACAAAACAACTTACGTACACGCATTCGACCACGTACAATCGTGCCCCCCCGTCACCCTCGCACCAAATATTGACCTACCTGTAGGACTTCAGTTTAAAATCCCCAACGAGCGGCCGGATCGATCACTGCCACCTTCCCATCCTCGCAGCGTACGAATTCCTCCGCGAAAATCTCCTCAGCCTCCCCAGGACCGTCCACCTTTACCTCGAGACACTACTGAGACCCTTCGACGCCGCTCCTCGGGTCAAAACCCCGTCCCGTCACACTCCACTGAACTCGGGAACTTCCTCCACCGGCTATTATCAGTCATTACATGTACGTTGAACTGTCAAACGCCGGAGGGATGATTCAGGGACTCATCCCCACCCCCCCGATCTCCTCCGTAACAAGGCTCAGAGCCGTGGGTCCGCAGCAGGCCCACCGGAAGACCAAGACCGGCCCAAACGGGCCCCCGGATCGCAATAGCACAGTTCTAGTTTCCGGTTCCGTGAGTGTGAGTAAAGCCTGACCGTAATGTGTGTAGTACAGACTCGTGTCAGACTGGCGTATCGATCGGGCGTCGCGACGGCGGAGTGACAGGCGCGCCGGTCACTGGGGGGCTGTGCGAAAGGAGGACGTCGCGGCGTATACGGGGTGTCACTCGGGATCGCCCTGATAACACAGGCCGATGGAACGTAAAAAGTTGTTTGCGTTGCAAAGCAGGCTATGAGTCATAAAATGGTCTTAGTTCTTATCTTTGCCCTAAGTAGATTTTAAGTGAGGTTTTTAATAAAATTTTGCATTTTAATTTTCTCATTACTGTCAGCCAAAATATACCCCGACTTCCATTTTTGTCCACCCCGTGTAGTTGGTCAGAGGGAGTAAACGACCCTTAAATCTTAATAACGAAGGGAGGAAAGTCTGCGATATTTTCGATCCCGCTCCGATCGCAGAGAGGATTACCTTTATAGGATTGGGTTAACTTATACCGCAGTTGTTCTTGAAATATGTTCTTATTTCTATTAGGAGCAGACTCTGCAGTGAATAAATACGAAGGAGGTTCTTTCTAGGGTTCACTGTTTCTTTATTGCGCATTTCTCTTGAATCTTGAAGTTACTTGGAAACTTTTCGATATTTCCTCTTTTTTATACTGCAAAAGTTGCGAAGCCTCAAATCTTTTGAATTTTTATCAAGTAGCGAGTTTCCTTGTGTCTGTATTTATTAACAGCGAATACATTTTATTTTAATGTTAAGTAAATATTATTACAGTTCCATTAACTCATATTTTGCAATTTCTTATTTTTGTTAAACACATACGATGCCCACAAATTCCATAAAACGATCACCGCAGCATGTACTTACCGGCTATCTGTTTACATTAAAGCCCATTAAGGCGACCTCGTCACTTGCGGCTATCCCTTTAATCGTCAGATAAGGCACCCTCCTCGCGTACCGAACGACCTCCGAAATGAACAGGGCGTGATTTGGCTGCCGAACTTCATTAAACTAATGACTATAATGTATTAGGAGGCCTCCCCCGCACTTAGAGTCAAAGGGTAGAACCGTCAGACTGTAACCTAATAAGCGCGGTCTTTAGCGATCATAAATGGCCTGTTGGTAGACTCTGCAAGATGCAGAGGCGTTGGAAGGGTTGGCCTGCTCCCAACGTTCTTTGATAAATAATGGACCATATAATATTATATAATGTATAATAATAAAATTGGACATTTTTCAATAAATTGCGAATTTGATTTACGACTTAATAGCTTTGTTCCAAGTGTATTAGAATTAGTTTCCAACAGTCAGACGCAATCGCATTTGATTCAAAACAATGAATTTTGAACCTTATGTAAGCATTATATCCATATGCGCATGCGTCTGACTGTTGGAAACTGTTTTGGATTCTACTAGGAACAAAGCTAATACTAATCAAGTTCAAATATCTGGTTCTACAGACGTGTTATAAAACTTAATTGATGATGTATTGGTATTTCGGTATCAAAATTCATTGAACCAATGTTTGTGTAGATCTAATTCTAATACCTAAACTTCAATTATTATATTAGAATCAGTTTCCTTGTTTCCAACCGTCAGACGTAATCGCATTTGCTTCCAAACAATGAATGTTGATTGAAATATTTCAGTCAACGCAATGAATTTTGAATTTTATATTTTAATTAGGTACACCGAAATGCGCATGCGTGTGACGGTAGTGAAAATACTGATAGTACCCAGTCCCAGTACTTGACCTTGGATCCATTTGTTATTTGTTTACTTTTTGGATTTTGAATAGTTGTGAATTTGCGATTTTTAACTTTATAATCTTGATATTTGTGAACAATCAGTATAAAAAATGTCTCGCACATCTCTAGGTGCATATATCGCTGCATATTCAAGTTATCTAAAGCTTGGCGACGATGGTATTTCCATAACCTGTACAATTTGCCATACCATGTTTCAGTGTGCTAGAAAACGAGATCTAGACAGACATATAAATTCTAAAATGCATAAAGATAATACTCAAGCTTCTGTCAGCGACAGTGAATTTTCCAGTGATCTCTGCCAGGCTTTTGTGGCTGCAAATATACCGTTTCATAAACTCAATAATGACAGATTGAAAAGTTTTATGGAAAAATATTGCGGACGTAAAGTACCAGACGAGTCGACATTAAGAAAACGTTATTTACAACCAACTTATGACAAAAAAATTCAAGAAATCCGACAGGCTTTGGAGAATAATTACATATGGATAATGGTCGATGAAGCGACTGATATTCAAGGACATACTGTTGCAAATGTTATAGCGGGCCCGTTATATCCTGATAAACGGATCTCACCCTACCTGGTAGCTAGTAGAGTATTAGAAAAGACAAATTCAGAGACAATAACTTATTTAGTTTGTAATAGTTTAGATAACATTACCTATAAGTATCCTTCAAAGGTTCTTTTACTCATAACTCATGTCTCGACATATATGCTAGAAGCTGGACAAACGTTATCAAAGTTAATGCCTCTGATGATACATCTTACTAGTTTTGCTCGTGCCCTTCATCACGTTTGCGAGTATATCAAAGAAGAGTTTTCCGACGTAGACAAATTAATCAGCGAGACAGAAAAGATATTTCTTACATCTCCCAACCGGCAAATGCTTTTTAAAGAACTGTGCCCCCATCTACAGTTACCTCCAAAACCCGTGCTGACAAGATGCAGTACGTGGTTAGAAGCTGCAATGTATTATGCTAATAATTTTAATGATATAAAAGAATTTATTTCACAGTTAGAGGGTAGCGTAAAAAGTGTAGCTGAATGTAAAAGATTAATAAATGTACCGCATTTGTCCGAACATCTGAATTTCATAAAGGAGCACTTTTCAAATATTCCTCCTGTAATTAATCAGTTGGAGTCGAGAGACTTGTCTCTACCGGATTCCGTTGACTTGTTTAACAGCACTTTAGAAAGTTTTAAGTTTTCTCACGATTTCGCGCAGCGGTTGTCCCAAGAAATTACAGACGTAATAGTAAAACGTAATCCCGGCTATGGAAAAATGTGTGAAATATCAACATTGTTGAAGGTGAAGAGTGAAGATGCCTCCGATGAACTCTTACAATATTACCGATATGCCCCAGTAACGTCTTGCGAAGTAGAACGGTCTTTTTCTTTCCTGAAAGACATTTGCACTTATTTCAGACATTACACACCAGAAAACATGGAAAGGTATATGATAATCCATTACAAGGCTCGTAGCGATATCAGTAATCAGATTGGATCCCCTGTCATGTCACCGGTTCTACCTCGAAGTAATTAGACACTGTGCCGCCCCTTTTTTAGCGAAATTTTCTATAAATATCAAGGCAGATGGCGAAATTGGAATACCATTTGGGTCATTGCAAGGGCGAAACAATGTACGTTGCTCAAATATGAACACGTTAACCTTACTCGTGATTTTTCTAACAATTTTTGAGGGCGCCCCCAAAAAATCGTACAGACAGATGTAAGTATAGAAGTTTACAGTATTTTTTTGTTCTAGACTTGTAGTTTATAATTTTAGTTGCAGATTAAATTATTATATCCACCTATTTGTGTATCATACGTTTAAATAACAAAATAAAAAAAGAAATTGATGCTTTTTACAGAGATAAAAAATCATAAATACGTATTTAATTTTCTATGTATAACAAATTTCCCAATTTTAACGCTCTTGTCAAAGTATTCTTTTCTTTTAGTCCTCGTTTATCAGTAGAAGATGGACATTTTATATTTTATGCCGCCTATGGCAAAAACATAACTTTTAGAACAACTCCCTCAGCAGGAGTATCAATAAATGACATAGACATACTTACAATGCTCAATGGGGTGAGTGCCAATATGTATAATGAAAAAAATTAGATATATTTTCATAGCTATTTTTGTTCTTAATTTTTTAAGCGTGTAACAGAATCTCGATGTATCATTTGCTGCCAGTTTTTAACCATAATTTGATAATCTGTAATAAACGGTAATAACTGGCGACAAGGGGTATTTATTATCAATCAAAAAAATTTTTTATTAAAAAATATTTGCAAAAGTGAATTAGGACGAAAATTTGGGTACAAAGACGGAAATTCTTTTAGGCACACAACGCTACGAGCCTCGTGAAGAATTATCAGGAAACTTTTGCCTCGTACGTCGAGAGAATAGACTCCCTCGAGCAAAGAGTATCCAATGCACAAATCCAGTGGAACAACAGTACAGATCCAGACATTATAAGAAAAAAAATTAGATTACTAAATGTATCAATCAGACGCCTTCACGTTAAATTTAACAGCCTTAAATCCAGTTTAGATCAGAATGAATGTGACAGCAACCCGTGCAAGAACGGGGGAACATGCCAGGACATGTTCCAGAATTATATTTGTCGTTGTCCGGACGGATGGGAGGTTTGTACTTGTATAATTGTTCTGTTAAAATTCATCGAAAAACGCAAATTATTTCCAGGGTACAAATTGCGAAGAGGATGTGAACGAATGTTCTAGATTCAATGGAACCGATCTGGGTTGTCAGAACGGGGCTACGTGTGTCAATAAACCCGGAACTTACAAGTAATATTTGTACCTGTATCCAAAGACACCGATTTAAATTTTTGTACGTTTTTTAGGTGTCGATGTCAGGCAGGTTTTGTCGGATTGCACTGCACCAGAGGAAAGGCTGATTGTAGTATCGGGGGACAGGAATTATGCGGCCATGGTGTTTGTGTCCAACAACTAGTTGGATACAACTGCATCTGCGATCAGGTGAGGGATAACCGACTAAAATTAATAAAAGCTGAATAACTCCGTTCGATAGGGTTGGACTACGGACGGGACGAATCAAGCCTGTACCGTAGACGTAAACGAGTGCAATTTAAATCATCCGGCTTGCTCGAGAAGTCCAAGCGTTGCTTGTATAAACGTACCTGGATCGTTTTATTGCGGCGGCTGCCCTGCGGGTATATGAAATTCCATTCGCTTACCAAACATTTTTAACGAACACAATTTCAGGGTACACCGGAAACGGCTATTACTGCGCCGATATAAACGAGTGCGAGATTAACAACGGAGGGTGCAGCCTTAATCCCAAAGTCGCCTGCATAAATACCCAGGGGTCTAGAATGTGCGGCCCTTGCCCCTCGGGTTATGCCGGCGACGGAGTAAGTTGCGTTTTTAAAGGCGTTTGTCACATTAACAACGGGGGATGTCATTACTTCGCTCAGTGCAGAGACAATCCGAGTAGGTGCATCGTATATATCGGGCCACGTTCCCAAATTAATGATTTTACTTTCAGGGATAAGCTCGACTTATGTGGAGTGCGTCTGCCCGGCTGGATACGTAGGAAACGGTATAGGACCAGAAGGTTGCACTTCTTCATCGAAAAATTTGAATCCTTGCGCCTCGATCCCTTGCGCGCATGGCACCTGTTCCGCCAATAATGTCACTGGGGAATACGTTTGCAGTTGCAATAGAAAGTTCACGGGACGCAACTGCGACATTATGAAAGACCCTTGTGCCTCGAACCCCTGCCAGAACGGCGGCACTTGCCTGAACTTGATTGGAATATCGTTCCGATGCGTCTGTAACAGTGGGTTTAGTGGAACTTCATGTGAAGATGAGAAAGAAGGTAAAAATGAATGTCTTAATATCTAATTCACAGGGTATTGCAGTTTTCCAGAGACAGAATTTTGCAGATGATTTTCTAATTTAAAATAAGAAAAATTATTTACCGAAAAGTAATAAAATTCTCTCACTCTTTATCTCAAAGAATGATTTGTGGTTCTATGTTCGGATGAACTTGTTTCTTGGTCATAGCCTGCCCACTTTTTATGTGTGAATATACTTTTAGGCTGCGGTGGGACATTTTCCGGACCAAACGGCACTCTCAAGTATCCGCCCGACGCTTACGAATCATTCGGTCACCGCATAAGCTGCTCCTGGACTATAGAAACAAATTCCACGAAAATTCTCAATATCACTTTCAGCAAATTTAATATTAAAGCTTCTCCAGGATGCGGATCTAGCTGGCTGCAGGTACAGTTAGTTTTATTAACGTTCTCGTGAGAATTAATTATTCAATTTAAGATTAGCGAGAAAATATTTCAGTGTAGGCGGTATCTGTTTTAAAAAGGGTATATTTGGATAAAACGCATATGATCAGAGATTTTTGCTGTAACAGCTTCTAAATAATAAAAAAAACGTGGGCTTAATTGTTATTGCAAAAAAGTATAAAAAAATTGCAAAAAAAATAATTTTTTTCTTGGATTTCTCGTCGACAACTTAGCAACTATTCGTTTTAGACAAAAATGGATGAGGAAAAAAGTTTTGTATTTAAATTTTGAACAAGATAGAACTAGTTGTAATTCGAAAAAATAATTATTGTTGTTGCAAAAATCGGAAAAATAATTTAAAAAATTGTAAAAATGCTGGTTTATTTGTCAATTTTTTTTGGGCACTTGAATAATACCTAGGATCTTCATCTTTCCGAGTAATTTCAAACCATATTTTAAAATAAAAAAAAAATTTGAAAAAAACATTAAATTATTGCAATTGTTTATAAGCGTGAAAATTGCGAAAATGTTTAAACAATCACCACGGCTCATCTAATCGATTTGAATTTTTCAAACACCATTTTAAAGCTTGAGAGCCCTTCTTTTTGTGGTGAAATTTTCAAGTATTCAAAGGCTTTAAATTTTTAGAAATTTGATTTTGAAAATTTTTTAAATAAAAAAAATTTTAAACAATTAGGGATTATGTAACAACTATCGAACCAAATTGGATGAAATTTGGTGTGATGATTCTATGCACTAAGAAGTTTAATTGGGAAAAGTATGAAGATCCTAGGTATTAATCAAGTGTCTGAGAAAAATTGACAAATAAACTAGCATTTTTTGCAATTTTTTAAATAATTTTTCCGATTTTTGCAACAACAATAATTATTTTTTCGAATTAGTTCTATCGTGTTCAAAATTTAATTACAAAACTTTTTTCCTCATCCATTTTTGTTTAAAACGAATAGTTGCTAAGTTGTCGACGAGAAATCCAAGAAAAAAATGAATTTTTTTGCTATTATTTTATACTTTTTTGCAATAACAATTAAGCCCACTTTTTTTTTTATTTGCATAGAAATATTATCATTTCTGATGTTATTTAGGAGCCGTTAAAGCAAAAATCTCCGATCATATGCGTTTCACCCAACCCGAAACAGATACCGCCTGGACTATTTGGGCAGTAACAAAGATTTACTTTAATTGAATATTCCTGTAGGTCCACGATGGCCCAGATTCACAATCGCAGCTTGTGGGAAGATTTTGCGGTACCGATCTGCCTCTGGGCGGTAAAATTTCGACCACAAGCAACATCGTTTATTTGTGGTTTATAGCGAACGCGGAAAACGCGAGGAACGAATTCAACCTCACTTGGAACACCACCGATCCAGGTACGTATATTGTAAGTCTCGATATAAATAATCGTACGTGAGATATAATTTTCAGTGTGCGGAAGGGAAATTACAACATCTTCTCACGGGACGATCGAGTCTCCCGGTTCACCCGGAAATTATCCACCAAATCAGTAGGTACGTTCGAATGTTGAATTCCCGATTCAAATTGTTCCGATTTGCAGGGACTGTTACTGGCACTTAGTGACGCCCGTCGATAAAAGATTACAGTTCCATTTCTTCTCGTTGGATATCGGCGTCAATGCTGGCTGTGACCGCGATTTCATAGAAGTAAGTACGAAGTCTCCGTTTCGATTCGAGTACATTCTCGGTTTTTAGTTTTATAGTACATTCGGTAACGAGGATGGCGCTCCGTTCGCCAAGTTCTGCAACAGTTCGCTGCCAATGCCATTTTTTTCACCCAGTCACGACGTTAAAGTTCACTTTCATTCAGACGGAGAGAATTCTTATCCCGGATTCCAGTTGACTTACTCCGCAGTTACAGGTAAAAAGTATTATTGTTATTATTTAATTTATCAATTTTTTTGGACATGAAACGCTTTGGAACATTGTCTTTTTTTATCTCTTACAATTACGTTTGAATTTTTAATTGCCAGTGTTGCGAGAAACAACTACTCCGAGAGCTATATGCCCCTACCGGCATTGAATTACACTCGCAACACCTAATGCAACAGCTAGGGTCGATCGTCAGTTTAACCCACCAGGCACAGACCGGTTTCGGACTTATTAGTCCTCATCAGTGTGTCATAGGTGAGACAACCGACAAACGATCCAGCTGTTTTGCGTCGTAGTCAAATGGCTACAGTAGGCCACTGCTATATTGCAGGTATTTGTTGCCAGTGTTGCGAGAAACAACTACCAAGAGCTATAATAGCTCGGAGTAGCACGACAGATGGAGCCATTTGCGCTCCCGCGTACTACATTTGAATTTCACAGAAATATTTTGCAGGAACGCCAGGTTGCGGCGGTTTTTACTCGGCGAAGGAAGGTACAGTCCATTCCGCCGAACCAGAATATGACTGGAAGGAGCTCGTATGCGAATACAAATTTAATCAGGGTTCCAACGCTAGAACAAAAATCACTTTCTTAAGTGTGGACCTCGGTAAAGACCCTAGTTGTTTAACCGATTACATCGAGGTAAGGAAGATTATGAGTTCCGCATTCTGATAAGCGAATTCCATTTAAAAATTTCAGATCCGGGAGGGTTTAGGGAAAGATTTGCCGTTGGTTGGCCGATACTGTGGTAGCGCTTTGCAACCTCCTTACGTTTCCAACGGACCGTTAACTATAATTTCTGCGACGCACCTAGGTAAAAAGTGGAAACTGAAATATGAAAAGCGTAAGTAATATTGTGTTTCATTTTTTTAATGTTCGTAAAAGTATTTAACGATTACCAACGTTGCGGATGCTTGTAAATCAAACTGTAACGTGTGATCACCTTTTCAGTTTGCGGAACAAAACTTTTCAATCGAACCGGCTCCTTCAGTTCCTCTCTGCCGGGACAGGGGAATGACTGCATGTACCAGATTGTGCGTCCGGTGGGATACGTGATAGTACTAACCATTAAAATGTCATCAAATATTTACTATTCCGATCCGTTTTGTTCATTAAGATACGTTGCAGTAAGTGTAATTTTTTAACAGTATACGATTCATAATATAAAATGCCTGGTATCTAACAAACTGTTTTTAGGTGTGGGATGGGGATCATGAAGATGCACCGTTATTAAAGAGATTGTGCAAAAGCGGGACAGAAATTATAACCTCGACGCACAACCATCTCTGGATTCGGTATTACGATTCGAATTACAGATATCTGACCTTCACGGCAGGGTACACATCCAGGGAAGTTGGTAATTATTTTCCTTTACAAATTACTTGCCACAACACGTTTATAAAATTGTTTGTACAGACATGACACATGACGATCTTTCCGATTGTAACTTTTAAACTGACGAACCGACCGATAGGATCTAGTATTGATTGAAAACCAAATGTAAGTCGTATCCAACGCAATACGTACAAAATCTGTATCTGAAACTGCATAAGAGCCGTCCAAAAATCATCCACAACTTAATTCACCACCTTCTTCCGCAGCTCTAACCTGCGCTTTCTTCTCCCCATTCCGGTTTTCCGTCTTTTCTTACCCCAATTCAACTGTTTATAGGTGAGATGTAAATGTTACACCTATAGTCACTGCTACTCAATGTCTAGGCCTTCAAATTGCTAAACTGGCAGAGAGTGACCTGCTATTTCGTAGGTACCTGTGTTGCCACTAGGCGAAACAACTTTTATACGCGGGAGCGCAAATGGCTCCATCTGTCGAATTGACAAATTCTCTGACAAATTGAAACAACTTTTAAACTGATGATACTACCAGAAACGATTATTCTGCGGGCTTCGGTCAGCATTGAATTACACTAGCAGTATCCAGTAGACGACAGTAAGGACCATTCCTCAGCTGAACCCACCAGACATATACCAGTAGGTGTACATTCATAGATGTAGTATTTACATCTCGCCTACATTCACTCTGCCTGTAGTTAAGACATCAAAAATAGCTGGATCATTTGTCGTCCATCCCACCTAAGACATACTGGTGGAGAACTAATAACTTTGAAACTGGTATATGTCTGGTGGGTTCATCTGATTTGCAACCCCAGATATTGTTGGTATAATTCAATGTTGGTCGGGGTATATAGCCTGCAGAGTAGTTGTGTAATTTTCTCCGTCGTCCTCTGCACATTGTAATTTTTCAGGATGTGGAGGCATACTGAGGAATAAAACTGGCATCATAGCTGCTTCTACTTCCAAGAGGGACTCTGTCTCTTTATCGAAGTGTTCCTGGGTGATCATCTCTCCTCCAGAATTTGTTATTCGTCTGACTTGGGTCTATTTCAACCTCGATTCCTACAGCTCGCTCGAAGTCTTCGATAACAACACCGATTTGGGATCGGGCGAACTGGTGGGCAAGTTCACGGGATCCAAACTACCGCCTATGTTGTCGAGTATGGGTAATATCATGACGATAGTTTATAAAGGTTATCGCAAAGAGTTCTCGGGATCCTACGCTTTCGTCCATGAGTCTAACAGCAAGTACGCTATAATGAGCATGTGTTTGAATTGTAAATGACGATTTTTGCAGTTTGCGGAGGGAATTATTATACTTCTAGTGGCATTATCAAGTCTCCGAATTATCCAGCGAGCTATCCGAGCTATCTAGACTGCACTTGGAAGATTATCGTACCTTCCGGGCAGCAAATTTTATTGAATGTAACCGATTTTGGGTTGGAGAGTTACAGGTCGTGTCAGTTTGACTTGTTGGAAATAAGGTAATCATCTATTAATTAGCGTATGATGGATTTCTACGACGGAATAAAAAAATTTTGAATGTAGGGATGGAAGCACGTCACACTCGCCGTTAATAGGAAAATATTGCTCGGTGATTCCTAAACTGATACCTTCCCATGCCAACGAACTATATCTACACTTTAAAACGGACGGTTTTATCACCAGACGTGGTTTCAAGATTCGATGGTCTTCTGCGGCAACAGGTTAGATGTTGGTTACTACATATCGTACGTAATTAAAATGAATTGACAAATTTTTTATGTGTTCCGTGTTACTGTATTTTGTTTTTTAATTTCTACATACTGTCGAGGTTTTTCGATTCATTTTTATTACATCCCGTAGAATTAGAGGTTGTTACACGGGTTTTATTAACCCACGTTATACATTACTTCCGGACGTTGTTGTTTGATGCATTTTAAAGAAATTAAACTGTTTCGAGTGGTGAGATATAACCTAAATATGTCATTGCTACTCAACTCCTACTCACACCAAACGATTACTTTGTACCTACTGATGTAGGTCACTCGGTTAATATAACCTACAAAGTAGACGTCATAACTTAAATGTCATTGTTGCTCAGTGCCTACTCACACCAAACGATTACTTTGTACCTACTGATGTAGGTCACTCAGTTAATATAACCTACAAAATAGATGTCATATCTTAAATGTCATTGTTGCTCAGTGCCTACTCACACCAAATGATTACTTTGTACCTACTGATGTAGGTCACTCGGTTAATATAACCTACAAAGTAGATGTCATATCTTAAATGTCATTGTTGCTCAGTGGCTACTCACACCAAACGATTACTTTGTACCTACTGATGTAGGTCACTCAGTTAATATAACCTACAAAATAGATGTCATATCTTAAATGTCGTTGTTGCTCAGTGCCTACTCACACATTTGTTGCTTTGTATCTACTGGGACGGAGTAACCTGCCGATCTGTGGAGAATTTGAGGTTTTGTTTCCGGAAATATCTGTTAAATAGTCTAAAATGCGCTAAAATTAAAAAATAGCACGTTTATTCAAATAATTCGACTTTGTAAAAGTTGGACTGTTTGCTGCGTTAATTAATACAGCAAAGCAGTAAAATCGTTTTTTAAATATATATTTCATTATTTTATTTTTTGGTGAAACGACCTGCTGAAGCTGTAACATAGGCATAAAACTTTTCTACGTTGCATTAATATAATAAATGTAGGTTGCGGAGGTAGGCTGACATCGCCCTCTGCTTCTCTCACTTCCCCCGAGTATCCAGAACCGTACAGCAAAAACGTGGAATGCACCTGGCAGATAACGGTGGCATCTGGGACACGGATTCAGGTCATATTTTTAGATGTACATCTAAAGGGACGTGGCCAGTGTGAAACGAATAATAATGATATAGAGTATGTCCAGGTAAAATAGTTATAACGTTTCGAAACTTTGCCTTCCAACATTTTTTCTGCAGATATTCGATGGATTGGAGATAAATTCCAAATCTCTAGGGTTCTTCTGCTCTAAACCGGACAAATTAATCGTCTCTTCCGATAACAAAATGCTGGTAAAATTCAGGTCGTCCTTCTATTTGCGAGGTAGAGGTTTCAACTTGTATTATTCCTCGTGTAAGTTTATCCGACATCGTTAAGGAAGCAACTCTGATTTTGCTGTTTTTTTTTTGTAGTTTGCAACAACACCCTCACAGGGTTCAGGGGAGTGATTGAGAGTCCAAACTTTCACGGCGGCGATTCTCAGGAACTGAACTGTTTGTGGGACATAATCGTCACCGATAAAAATAAAATAAACATAACGTTTACGCACTTGGATGTAGGCACTTCCACTGGAAATGTCAACAAATCCTGCGGCTCAAGCTATGTCGAGGTAAATAATAAAGAAATTGTCATCGGGTTGTGGATATTTTCAGTAATATTTCTAGTTAAAGTATTTTGAGCTGAATAAGGATAATTATGAGCTGGACACCCTCACCCAAGGCAAGTATTGCGGTTCTGATAACCCAGGGTTAATCACTATAAATTCCGATCATGCCCAAATCCACTTCGTTAGTACCGGAAACGGACGAGGATTTAGGTTAGAGTGGCAACTGTTCGGTAAGTATCGTCGATTCAATCGATCGGAATAATCGGGATTTATTTGTGTTAAATTCAGGTTGCGGTGGGGTTTTAACCGACAGTTCTGGTACGATTCAGTCCCCCAATTACCCCAACGGACTTCCCCCAATCATTAAATGCCAGTGGCGCATCGAAGTGGAACTTGGTTATAGCATTCAGTTATATTTCAGGGAAGTAGATTTGAGTAAGACGTCATGCTACAATTCCTACGTTCGGGTAAGTTTATTTTCTAGTTTTATTTCAGAATAAACTGAAGGGGGTCATTTTTATACGGGGGCTACCTTTGATCTTTACACACGTCATAAGTTTGTTTTCTCAAATTCTGTTGTGAAACTTTTGGCCTGTTATTTCAAAATAACGCAGAAATTTGACAGTGAAGACGCACAAACACACTGTACAGTTAGTTTCTGGCACTGCCCAGTGACGGCGTAGACAAGAGTTTAAGTACAGTTTAAAAACATATTATCGACTCGACTGTTTATTTGATTACAAATAAAATAATTTCTGGGGGAACACATACAATAACCCCTAAAAAAATTGATCCACAGTAAGAATAAGTAAATCAATTTTTTTAGGTGCTCAATGGACCTGACGATTCCTCTACCGTACTATCAAACTTTTGCCACTTAGTAAAACCGGCCGTAGTAACCAGTACAGGAAACCAAATGTTTATTGATTTTCACACCTATTATAGCTTTAACGGAAAAGGATTCATTGCGAATTATTCGGCCGTCCCTACCAGTAAGTGTAAACAGACGAGTTTGGAGAATTGTTTTAGCGTAACTATATTTCAGAGTGCGGCGGCAAATTTACGGTTCCTGAAGGTGCCATATCGTCACCGAATTACCCCAATAACTTCGATAAGAACGATAATTGTTACTGGCTTATCGAAGTTGAAAAAGGTCACGCCATAGAGCTGACATTTGAGGACGTGGACCTGCCGGAAGACTGCAACAAGTATTATATAAAAGTACATAGTAATCCTTTATCGTTTCAAACGGGATGTATTTTATTGCAAATTGTAGGTGTACGATGGTTCAACGGAAACCCGTCCAGTCTTAGAAACTGTTTGCAATGTTACCCCGAACGAAACAATTTCGTCGACCTTCAATCAGATGTATGTAGCGTTCAGAACAGACACTCAGACGACTAAAGGATTCTTAGCGAAATACAAAAAGGTAAAAAGTGTGTCTGTGTTCAGCCAATGCTGAATTTTTACGAGAATTCTAATATCAGTTATTGTGTTGTAGTCATGTGGATCACGAATCGTCACGAAGAGTAGCGGTAATATCCAAGTAAAATTCTTAGAATTTCAAGATTACACTACTTGCATTTGGACTATAGTATCGGAAGATCCTGGTAAGTACACGAATTAGAGAATTATTGTAAATGAGACTGTTGATCAGTGGCAGTTTCTATATAGGGTCAAGAAAACGGGAGCAGGGACATTGTCCTGTACATATAAAACGGTACGAAACTGTTTGATATCAATGTCTCTTTTTCATGTGCAGTATTAATTTCAATATTTATATTAAGCATTTAGTAGACCGATCGAAATAACTTATTTAAAGGGAAAAAAGAAAAGAAAATTGTTACCTGGACTTTTATAAGTGGAAATGCTAAAGGGGCTTATAATAAACAAAAAATAAATGCGTGAGCAGAGGTGGCGGAGGGTTGATTTGGGGGGTTGAAAAGTTGTGAAAAATCGTATCATTGGGATTTCTAGCAAAAGTTGACGTCAAACAAAAAAGTATCTAATACAAAAGTCTACAACTTTTGTAGAGATCACTTTTTAAGATAACCTCAAAATTTCCCAGAAAAATGCGAAAAACAGTTTTTTTTCTGATATTTCGTTTTTTATTTGTCATTTCCGCAAAAATAACTTAATTTTGACAAAACTTCGTGAAAGTATACTTTTCTGTGTCTTAAATAACCACAATTTTTTTTAAATAAAAAAATTTAGAAGTTTCCGAGATATTTATTTTTTTCGGTCTGAAACACTTTTTTTTTTCAAAGAAAAATTCTACTTGAAAAATCATCATAGTTCTGCTGGTGATCATTTTTTTTTGATATTCTTTTCGGTGAAATAAAAAATCTGTAATCACAGTTCAAAAACATGCTCAAAAATGCAAAAAAAAAAATAAAACATGACTTGCAACAGTGAATTTTTCAGTAATTATTGTTGATAATTTGTTTAAATTTAAAAAAAAAATCAAAAACTGATTACATCAGTTATGTTTTTTATATCTAACAATATGCCGTTTAGAAAGTTTTAAAATTCCGAGAGTTCCAGAGATATCCGAAAAAACCGAAATGTTGCAAAATTGTTTAATTTTTTTTCTGGCTTTATTTGAAAACGAATTTTAAAATTAACTGTATATTTACATTGTCATTTTTGCACTCTATCCGATGGAGTCAACATTTTTGTAATCCGACGTTTCGTCTTCAAGGGGCCATCATCAGGTTAATTTTTTTTAAACACGTCGCTGCTATTTTTATGACAAAATCTAGTCATTTTTAATTCTGAATTAGATGATATTGCTATTGTAATCGTTTAAAAATGTTTCTAAGTATGATTTAAAATTTTTCCTGAGTACGGCTCTGAACGCTTTCAAAATATCTATTGGAGGAAGTCATAACAGTATAAAAGTCAAATACAGCACAAAATATCCAACAATTAGTAAAAAAAATTATTGGATATTTTGTGCGGTATTGACTTTTATACTGTTATGACTTCATCTAACAGATATTTTGAAAGCGTTAAGAGCCGTAAATAGGAAAAATTTTAAATGATAGCTAAAACAAGCTAAAAAAATAAAACGATTTTGCAAAATTTCGGGTTTTCGGGTTTCGCGTCAACAGTAGACTTTGCAGTTAATACTTTGTATTGCTGAAATCTCAAAACATCCAGAGATAATTTATCATTTGAGCTTTTGTAATTCGACTTAGATGTTTATAGTAATACTGTACAAAAATATAGTTTTGGGTCAAACAATGAGGCACAGTTTTTTGTATTTTTTTCTGTAGAATTGAATGGTGTAATCAGTTTTTGATTTTTTTTAAATTAAACATGCATATCAACAATTACTGAAAAATTCATTGTTGCAAGTCATTTTTTATTTTTTTTTGCATTTTGAGCATGTTTTTGAATTGTGATTACAGATTTTTTTTATTTCACCAAAAAGTATACGTCAAAACGAAAAAAATTTGAACCGTAAGAACTCTGTACGATGATTCTCCTAAGTAGAATTTTTCTTTAAAAAAAATGTGTTTCAGACCGGAAAAAATTAATATCTCGGAAACTTCTTGATTTTTTTATCTATATTATCATTTATTTTTTTTTAGGTTTATTATAAGCCGTTTTACCATTTTCACTTACAAAAGTCCTGGTAACAATTTTTTTTCTCAAAGTGTAATTTGGTTGGACTATTAGGCAGTCAAATGTAAAACAGAAATCTCAAAACATAAAATTTCATTAGAAACTCATGTGTGACGAATAAAAATTAGTAAAATTACCTATTTCAGCACGTCACATAATTTTAACGATAACGCGGATGCAAGCGAGAGCGTATTCGTGCCAGTATTCTCCAGTGAAAATATTTGGTGGTGAAACAATTGAGTCCCCTCTTGTGAAAAGCTACTGTGAACCGCAAGCCCCAGTGCCCATAATCAGCGACGGATCAGCCCTTACGATTCAGTTGAATCGCAGAATTGATTTCTTCGCTACGTACTCGGTCTTTGATTCCCGTAAGTTAAGCGCATTACGAGAACTAGATTAAATTCCTAAATTATTGAGATCGAGGGGAAGTACTGCCATATTTTTTATTTTAGATTGCGGAGGTACATTCAATTCGATTAAGGGATTCTTTGCTAGTCTAGGATATCCCGATAAGTACCCGCCTGACATGCAGTGTGAATGGACATTAAGAGTGGCACCCGGTATGAATTAATACTATCGTTTGCAATATATGAGTGGCGTCGTTTAGTATTCTCTACTCTACGTTTGACCGGTTATCTAAGTAAACGATTTTCCCATTTTAGGTAACAAAATAAGCCTAAGTTTCCATGAATTTGATCTACTGGAATCGGAAAACTGCGATATGGATTTCCTGGAGATCAGGAAACACAACGTTTCGGGTCCACTGCTGGGCGTTTACTGCGGAAAGAATAAACCCTTAAATGTCACTCACGAGGGAACACTGTGGATGTTATTTAAGAGCAGCAAATTGGATAGCGACACGACTGTCGCAGCTAAAGGCTTCTACGGAGAATACGAATTAGGTTGACGTTAAAATAATTTGAAGTTGAATAAAACACTACAGTTTATTTATTTTTTTTACCGCAGATGTCGACAATGATCTCACTGGACCCAAGGGCGTTATAGCTTCGCCGTTATATCCACAGACGTACTACAGCAACACCCATTTCTCCTGGAAAATTACGGTCGACCCGAAAAAGCGTATTCTGCTTACTTTCAATGAATTTTATATGTTTTCTAATGATTACAAAAGCTGTTTCTACGACAGTATGATTGTAAGTATCGTTTTATTGCGATCTCTTTGTTTTGTACCCTTCGTTTTTATAGGTTTACGACGGTGCCGATAGTGAAGCGCCAGCGTTGAGGTCGTCCTTTTGTGATGGCACTCTCCCCGATCCTATAAAATCAAGCACAAACACGCTATATATTAAGCTCTATGCGTACTATGTCGAAATGGGTACAAAGTTTTTAATAGAATGGCTTGAAATAAGCGATACACAGGAAATATCAACAAATGCGACCGTTTCTACCAGTAAGAAACGTAAATTTGTTTTACCACAAATATACAGAGTGATTCATTAACAATGGGAAAATCAAAATTGGCGAAAAAATCGACCATTGGCGCAAACATGCCTTATCCGAAAGTTGACAGTTTCGGAAATACAGGGTGTTGAAAGTTTCATGTTAAATATACAGGGTAAAAAGTTATTAACTAAATTTTCGGTAAAATCGGTCATAAGTGGCCCCCTCTACAAGCAATGCTGAAATTACAACACGCATCTTATTCGTCGCCTTACAAATATAGTTTCACAAATTTTCAAGTTCCTAACCTACATATTTTCAGAATAATCGCAAAAAAACGATTTAAAATTTTAACTTTCAACACCCTGTGTTTCCGAAACTATAATATGTACAGAATACTGTATCGATTCCCGTCGCAATATACAGGGTGGCCAAATGAAAACGAATCGGACCAATTTTCAGGAACTGCGTCAAGATTATTGAAAAACGCTCAGACCCGTCGATTTTATATTAAAGGGGGACATTCTTTGCTGGTATTTTTTTTTTCACTCCCCAAGCAAGGGTAAGCATCACCCCTAAATATTTAAATGGCATTGGGGGTTGAGTAATATTTCTTTTGAAAGCTCTTACAATTCTCTTTACGGCGGACTTTAAATTTTGTAATTCCGACCAATACTTATTAAGAATATTACTCAACCCTCAATGCCATTTAAATATTTTGGGGCGATGCTTACCCTTGCTTGGGGGTGAAAGTGGCGGAGTAAAAAATACCGGCAAAGAATGTCCCCCTTTAATCTAAAATCGACGGGTCTGAGCGTTTTTCTACAATCTTGACGCAGTTCCTGAAAACGGCTCCGTTTCGTTTTCATTTGGCCACCCTGTATATATTGCCACAAGCTGCCGCGTAAGCAAATATGCCTTAAAACTTTTCAGATCAAAGTTGCGGGTCATCGGACGTAATAGACATGAGTGGAAGGAACGATTCCTATCACATTACGTCGCCCGGTTATGGGTCAAACCTTAGTTGCGAATGGATATTCTCCACGATCCCAATGAATCACCTGTCGGTCGACGTCGAAGATATAAACCTGTCCTCACCTGCTTGGCGCTTCAGTCCGGTGTGTACGCAGGATTTAGTTAATTTCTACCAGAAGGGTTCGGAGGATAACGACTGGGTACTCATCAAGACAGTTTGTAGAAAAGAAGGCGAATATAAGAATCTGCAGTTTACGAACTTACTCAAAATCCAGTTCGTTACGAATGGGAATCTCAACACGACCGGATTTAAAGCTGCGGTTTATCAAAGTAAATATTAACATGATTTTTAAACGTTGCTCAATTTACGTTTTCTCTTTTGTTTAGAATGTGGCGGATCGATGGAAGGTCCCACGGGTGTTATATATGTTAACGTAGCCAGTAACTACGGATTTGACGTAAGTTTAGTGCGATTTTTATTTAGCACATAAAACATTTTTCTCCGTAGGAATTCTTGTTAAACTGTACCGACAGGAAAAACTGACGCCACCAGCGTTATCAAAGGGTCCAAATAAGTAATGAGTACATTTAAATTTTAGACAGACAGAACTGTTTCAAACGGACACTTTCGTGAAAATTTTTGAAAAAAACTTTTTTTTAGAAAAAAATTAAGTTCGAGCTATTAAAGCCTCCGCAGCTGATATTTACAGTATTTACGGTTTTTCGGGTTGTTAAGCCCTGGCTGGTTGTCGTCAGTTACAGATTTACAGCCTTCGAGCAAGGAATCTTTGTCCTGCTCTTGTTGTTCTCGGGCTAGGATCTGTGGAGGCGGAGGTTTTTTCTTCAAAATTCTCTTTTAATGGAAAATTGTTAATGGGAAACCAGTAATTCTTAGTAGCCCAGTAAATGAAAAAAAAATTGTAAAAAAATTAGTTTCAGATTGAAACTTGGTTTAATCGTTAGTTTAGGCAAAAAGGAATAATATTTCCCAAAAAGTATCGGTTTAAAACAACAAGATAATTGTTTAAACAATGATTATAATGTAAATATGACCGAAAATTGAGTTTTTTAGCTGTATTAAATAGCGCTTTCCAACAGGAGTTTTTGCTTTTGTTTTTACTTATAGGTTTTCAAAAAACGCTTCATTTGAGACCTGCTAAATTAAAATCCGTTAAGAATTTGTTTAAATAATTGCAAAAAACCAGCTAAATTTGAATTTGCTATAAATAAAAGAAAAGAGCATAAATCGTCTCTAAACTGCAGTAAAAGTTGTATTTTGTTACGCTTAAGAAACCCGGAAAATTTGGTAAAAAAATATTTATTTGTTTACGAGTTCTTTCATTTGTTTATTAGAAATAGAATTTTTTCAATTGCAAAAACGCGGTTGTTAGCGTTATAATAAAGGGCCTTATGACATCTCATTTGTTTCGTCTCGACTTATATTTTCAAGATATGCAATTGGAAATTGTAATTTCATAGGCTAACCTCCTCGAAACGGCGTATAAACAAATAGTGTAATTTGTTTACAAGGTTTTTCGTTAATAACTTTGCGAAGAATGAATATTTTTTAAAGCTGCTTTGATATTTGTAATATTGGTAATTTTTCACAAATTTAAAAAAAAAATTGTTCTGGGACCATTTTTAGCCGAGATAGCGATAACTAACGATTAAACCAAGTTTCAATCTGAAACGAATTACCTTTTGATTTACGTGTATTACAAATTTCATTCACTGGGCTATAACTACAATTTAACTGCAACAGTGACTTATTAAATTTCAGTGCGAATGGAATGTAACCGTCCGTACCGCAAGAACAATTAAAGTAACCTTTGAGAAAATACAAATTGACCACAACCGTATGAGAGGATGTGAAAATTATGTGATGGTAATTGACCCGTACTCCCATCTTTTTAATCTCTAACCTAAGTCTACGACTGTTTCAGTTGAGAAATGGAAAATATCCAGACTCTCCTCTGTTAGGGAATGGAACGTATTGCGGCACGACCATTCCAGAACCACTGAACACTACCGGAAACAGCTTGTATGTAAAATACAAAAATTTCCCGACCACTGAGGTAATTATTCTCACACGACTTCGTCAACCTATCAACTGGTTACGAATTTCAGGGTTTCGTCCTGAAATACCAGGAAATATCGGTGGGATGCGGAAACGAAATAATATTGTCCCAATTTGACAACTCCGTGGAAATAAATTCACCAAATTATCCAAACATCCCGCATCCCTACACGGAGTGTTCGTGGATGATAAGAGCGCCCCCTGGCGACTCGCTCCGGGTAGATTTCGAGGAACGATTCGACTTGACCCACTCCGCAGCGTACGTTAACGAAATCGGAAACTCGACGTAGAAATTTATCCCTTGTAAATTTTCAGATGCGGAATAGAATACGTGGAAGTGAGAGACGGGGGTTCGGAATTATCCCGTCTCATTGGCAGATACTGCCGAAACGCACCCGGCACACAATTCTCGACGGACAGCGTGATCTTTGTGAAATTTTTCACCGACACTAAAGTACCTAGGAACGGTTTTAAGGCCAAAATATCGTTGGCGTATTGTGGTGGTACCGTAAAAGGCTACCGGGGCCAAATCGAGAGTCCTCGACAAAATAAAGATCCGAAGCACAACTGCACTTGGCACATTGTCGGGCCTCTAGGCCATTATTTAAACATACAGTTTGTTGAATTAAAATTGGATACGAGCGGAAATAAAATCACTATTCTGGAGAAAAACCTGCTGTTCAATAACGGTAAGTATAAAAACTCTATCTATTATTAATCCGGGCGAATTAGACCAAACACACGTCTGTTTCAAAAATCGCGTCTAACTCGAATTTTATGTGCTTAAAATTAAGTAAAGAACGGATTTCAAAATGGAAGCCTATTGCAAAATTATAAAGTCGAAAACGCAAGCGTATTAACGAGTAATTAACAGAAAACCAAAAAAAACCGGTAACTATAGTAGGATCGTGTTCAATGCAAAGAAGAGCAAAAAGTTGTCGGTCTTTTATCAAAGGAAAATTGTGTCATCATTTTTAGGAGGCGTAAGATAAACCATTTCAAATTTAAAATGAAATTCAATGTTAAATCTGAAATACCGCTGCATACGCACTGTTGTGCTTTGGTAGTAGTTGTAGTCGCCCAGGTGTATCGAGTGTACGAAGTGGTCGGTTATACGTCAAATACTAACCTGGCGAGCTTGATCGTAAAACAGAGAACGCCTCCAAAAAACAAGTAAACAACAGTGGCGCGCATAGAGGTAAAATGTAGTACACATGTGGAATTTAAAAAACAAATTGGATTTATAATAAATTATATTTAAAATAAATAGTTTATGAGAATAAAGGAATTTTTGTAGGAACAAGGGTGCCAGACGTGAACTGATCCCTTCGTCCCTTCATAATGTATAAAGAAATTATTCAATTTCTAAAACCCTTAAAAGCGTATGGCACTGGATCCCTTGACAGGCAATGATTTATTACTTTGCATCGAATATGATCCTACTATAGGGTCCTTATCTCGGCAATTTTTTAATATACAAATTTCAAGCCAATTGCATCAAATAGTGCTTAAAAAACAGGAATTAAGAAAAAAAAGCGCCTCAATCCGACCAATAGGAGCCGAGATAATTTCTTTTTCTTGAAACGGTTTATTTTTAAAATAAATTCAATACGTACCTTTTTGGAAAAAATTTTTTTTCTGGATTCCGTTCAAACTTCGTTCCTAGACTAATGAACACGTAGATTTCGAAAATCCAGACCGTTTTGTCGTGAGTCGATCGGTGGTGGAGATATGCCAAAGTCGAAGCTATGGAGTTTTGGGCCCCCATTCACTTCAATACCTTCTATCCATTCATCGCTTACTCCTCGTCCAAACGCAAGGGATGGGCCCATTTCCTTTTCGTCGGTTTCTGTCCCATAATAGTACGTCGGGGGAGAAAAATATTTAAGATTCAATTTTCGTCGGTTTTTATCCCATAACAGTACGTCGGGAGAGAAAAATATTTTAGATGCAATTCACAGGATCTCGTAGTTTACATCGTAAACTTTATTTTGCGAAAAATTCACGTCTTAATGTTTATAAACAATAGCGCTACGATTTTTTAAAAAAATTCTTATCTTGGCTCCTGTTGGTCGTAGAGGGTACTTTTTTTAAAAAAATATTTGTTGCTATTTCAGTAACAAAACTCGGTGAATACAATGGAAGTGTTCTCCCCCCACCTCTCACCACATCAAGCAACGAAGCTCAAGTGAACTATATAGGAGGGCCTGGGTCGATTTTCCGATTGAAATTCAATGCCAGCATGTCTCGTAATAATAAAAAGAATACTGATTCAGGACTAGACTTTTAAAACAATTTTTTTCAGAATGTGGCGGTACCATAAGGGCAGAGTCTGGAGAAATAACGTCTCCCGGATACCCACTGGCAATCCACCGGAGACTGTGCAGGTGGAGATTCGAAGTGCCAAGCGGACGTCGCATAACGTTTAATTTCGTCGATTTAGATCTAGACTCCGATTACGACGAAATATTACTCTACGACGGTTCCGTTAAAACGAGCATACTTTTAGCCATATTGCTGGGGTCGGAAACATCCGATCGAACTTTCGAAACAAGTTCAAATATGATGGCGATGATCTTTTGGCCCCACGACTTTTCCTATCACCGTGGATTCAAAGCCTCCTTCTCATCGAATAAACCTACGAGTGAGCGTTATTTCAATTAACCGCCCGGTAGTTCATTTAACGATATTTTTAGTTTGTTCTAGCGACTTCACCGCCGACTCCGGCGTTCTAACACAACCGGATTCGAGGAATAATTCTTACTGGTGCCATTGGACGCACCACAACAAGAACACGTTCCTTAACCAGACCTTCGCGTTAACGATAAGTCTAGAAGTCAAAGGGAAAAAAGCCGTTTCAAATCTGCAATGTAAAACTTCGTTATGGGCTATCAGGGTGGCGAATCAAGAGGATCGAATTCTAGTTACTTTGTGTCCTCTAATTATTCAGAATTACGTGATTCGGTCCCCATTTCCCGTAACGAAACTAGTCGTAAGTGACGTGCATCATTCTCATGTCCTTGTTGCTCAGCTCTGTCTGTTTAAGGCTTTTGCGTGCGGTCAGATGAATTTCACGATATCGTACAATACCTACGATTGCGGAGGGATCCTAAACAAACAAGAAGGTTTCTTGTCTAGTCCAAATTTCCCGAACAAGTCTTCCCAATCGGTAGAATGCGCCTGGCTGGTGCAAGTCGACAAAGAACAGACTGTAAACCTCACTGTTCTTAATATGGACCTGGGGAACGACTGTGACAAAAGTTTCATTGCCATTTACAACGGAAACGGACGTTCTCACCCGAGGATCGGGAAATACTGCGGGACAGACAAGCCCGATGGTATAATATCTCAGGGCGACAGCTTGTGGGTAGAGTACAGATTCGAAGTCGGATCTACAGGGACGGGATTTCAACTGAAATACGAAGCCGAGTCTCTAGGTATGTAACATTTGCCGGAATTTTTATATTTATAGTCCAACCAAATTGCGCTTGGAGAAAAAATAATTGTTACCTGGACTTTTATAAGTGGAAATGGTAAAAGGGGGTATAATAAACCTAAAAATAATAAATGCGTGAGCAGGGGCGGTGGAGGGTTGATTTGGGGGGTTGAAAAGTTATGAAAAATTGTATCATTGGGATTTCTGGCGAAAGTTGACGTCAAACGAAAAAGTATACAATACAAAAGTTGTAGGTCATGCAAAAATCTACAACTTTTGTAGAGGTCACTTTTTAACATAACCTCAAAATTTCCGAGAAAAATGCGAAAAACAGTTTTTTTTTCTGATTTTTCGTTTTTTATTTCTTATTTCCGCAAAAATAATTTAATTTTGACGAAACTTGGTGAAAGTATACCTTTATGTGTCTTAAATAACCGCAAATTTTTTTAGATAAAAAAATCAAGAAGTTTCTGAGATATTCTTTCAAAGAAAAATTCTACTTAAAAAAATCATCGTACAGAGTTCTGCCGGTAATAATTTTTTTCGTTTTGACATACTTTTATGGTGAAATACAAAAATCTGTAGTAACATGTTCAAAAACATGCTCAAAAATGCAAAAAAATTAAAAATTACTTGAAACAATGAATTTTTCAGTTATTGTTGATAATTTGTTTAAATTAAGAAACATTCAAAAATTGATTACACCATTCAAATCTAGTCACTTTAAATTCTGAATTAGATGATAAAAAAATTTCATAAAAATAGCAGCGAAGTATTTAAAAAAATTAAACCGATGTTGGCCCCTCGAAGACGAAACGTCGGATTGCAAAAATGTTGACGCCATTGTATAGAGCGAAAAAAGTGGTATTGTAAATACGCAATTTATTGAATGGTGTAATGTTTTTGAATTTTTCTTTTTAATTTAAACAAATTATCAACGATTACTGAAAAATTCTTTGTTGCAAGTCATTTTTAATTTTTTTGCATTTTTGAGCATCTTTTTGAACTGTGAATACAGATTTTTTTATTTCACCAAAAATTATATGTCAAAATGAAAAAAATTATCACCAGAAAATCACTGTATGATGATTCTTCAAAGTAGAATTTTCCTTTGAAAAAAAAAAGAAAATGAATATCTCGGAAACTTCTTGATTTTTTTTTTATCTAAAAAAATTTGTGGTTATTTAAGACACAGAAGGGTATAATTTCACTAAGTTTCGTCAAAATTAAATTATTTTTGCGGAAATGAGAAATAAAAACAAAAAATTTTAAAAAAAAACAGTTTTTCACATTTTTTTCGGAAATTTTGAGATTATTTTAAAAAGTTACTTTTTTAAAAGTTGTAGATTTTTGCATGATCTACAACTTTTGTATTGGATACATTTTTGTTTGACGTCAACTTTCGCCAGAAATCCTAATGATAGAATTTTTCATAAGTTTTCAACCCCCCAAATCAACCCTCCGCCGCCCCTGCTCACGCATTTATTTATTTTTTCGTTTATTATAAGCCCCTTTACCATTTCCACTTTATTTCGATCGGTCTATTATCTTGTATTCAAAATAATTTTTTAATGATTGATCTGTTTTTATTGAAAACAATAAAATTTTGCCCAGTCAGTCAAATTGTCGAAAAAACCTCGTTTTTTTGGCAAAATTTAGTTCAGTAAACAAAGACACGTAAAAATTAGGAAAACTGCTTTACCCCAACTCAATGTTAGGGCTCCATTTTGAAGATGGCGTCCAAAGTTTGCAAAAACCCGTTTTTTTTTTTCTTTAAAAAAAACTAAACATTCTAGAAAAGTCCAGCCCGATGTCAATTGATAAACAATTGCAAAAAAAAAGCGGCTAAAAATCGAATTTTTTTAAAACTTCTATATCTTTAAAACCAAAGATTTTTTTACGAAACTTACGAAACTTTCAGAATGTTAGTTGTCCTTGGCAAGTAGAATAAGTGCATTTTTGTAAAATTGCAAAATATTTAATAGTTTTTGCAAAAATTGAGTTTTTCGAAAAACAAGACATTTTTTTCAAGTTTCAATAAATCGTACAGTAATGCACTTACGTGACCCATCTTGGGATTAAAATTTTCTCTAATAATTGTACTTTCCTGTGCAAATTGTGAGCGTATTGCAAAATAATTGGAAATATGCGAAAATCTACCGAAACTTTGTCTTCTATTTTCGGGTCAAAAAATGCAGGTGTTTTTCTTATCATTGAAATTTAATCGGAATGGCATTATTGCCATTTGAAACCTGACATTTTTTCATGAATTAAAAAAAATGTCCTCTCAATTTTTTTCAGACCTTAATATTGATAAATCAGCAATTTTTTGAAAAAAAAAAAAACTATATTGTAAAATAAAGTTGTTATATCTTGCTGCTCTTGTTAAGGCTGTGGTGGGATCTACCACGACAGGGAGAGGTTCATTCGCACGCCAAACTACAACCGGGACTATCCGAATAACGCGGAGTGTGTGTGGGAAATTAGAGCCACTCTCGGATACTTCATTCGTCTTCACTTTATCGAAAGGTTCCAAATCGAAACCAGCGACAAGTGTGCAAACGATTGTGTGGAGGCAAGTTCCAAAGTTCAAGTTTGTATCACCGTACAATCAAATTACAAAAACCGTGTTTAAACCCTAGAGGGATTTAACATTTTTTAACTTATCCAGATTTGGAACTGGAAAAATGACCAATGGACATCGATCGCCAAAGTATGCGGCCGTAATAATCCTAATAGCGTGCAGTCGACAGGAGACAGAATGAGAATAATATTCAGGAGTGACAACAGAACAACTGGGAGTGGATTTAAAGTTGGTAACATTGAGTTAAGTTACAGTTGTGAGAACTCATGTTTTTTTAGGCCAAGTGGGAATGGATTTGTGGGGGAACCCTCGAGGCAACAGGCACGCCACACACTGTAGTCAGCCCAGGGTATCCCGTATCCTACAAGGGAAACTTAAGTTGTGTGTACACAATTGTATCGAAAACGGATGTTGTCAATTTCCACTTCGATGATTTCGATTTAGAAGGTGGTAAAGTTACGAATTATTTGTCAGCGGAACCGCTAATATTTCATTTTCAGAATCGGAGGAGTGTAAACACGACAATGTAACGATTACGGCAACGTACCCCTCAAGATATTCTTTTATGGGACAATCTTTTTGTGGTACAAGAAAACCGCCACCTTTGAGGAGGAACCATATTATCGTCACCTTCAAAACCAACCCTTCTGGCAACAAAAAGGGATTCAAGTTCACGTACAAAGATGACGGCAAGTAAAAAACTTTATCGTTGGTCTGCTTGTGTGGTATTTTTGCCGCTTGTCACAAGCATTTACCGTTTTCTAGTTAAATCTGGAAACAGATGTAGGAGTCCCGTTAATCATTTATAAATTTATTTGCATTTACAGGTTGTGATTTAAATATCACACGGGCAACAGTTATTAACGGTCCTTCCATCATAGACCAAACTTACGATCGAGATATGATGGAGCTAGTTTCATGCTCCTGGAAAATTATTGCACCCCCAAAACAAGTTGTTGTCTTGAGGTGAGTAATTTCAACCCGACTTTAACACTTAGGTCATGCACTATATGAGCCAATAAATATATAGTTTCAGTATTACTGCGGTTTTCGTAACACTTATTACCGCGATTTATTGTTTACATCGGTCTTACAAGTGTTCAATGTGGATATTTTTTTGGTGTACAGCAAAGCAAGACAAAATAGCCCAGTAAATGAAATAAAATTGGTTTAGTTGTTAGTTTAGGCAAAAGGAAATAATATTTCCCAAAAAGTATCGGTTTAAAACAACAAGATCATTGTTTAAACAATGATTATAACGTAAATATGACCGAAAATTGAATTTTTTAGCTGCATTAAAAAGTGTTCCCCAACAGGAGTTTTTGCTTTTGTTTATACTTATAGGTTTTCAAAAAACGCTTCATTTGAGACCCGCTAAATTAAAATCCGTTAACAATTTGTTTAAACAATTGCAAAAAACCAGCGAAATTTGAATTTGCTGTAAATAGAAGAAAAGAGCATAAATAGTCTCTAAACTGCAGTAAAAGTTGTATTTTGTTACGCTTAAGAAACCCTGAAAATTTAGTTAAAAAATATGTATGTGTTTACGAGTTTTTGCATTTGTTTATTAGAAATAGAATTTTTTCAATTGTAAAACGCGGTTGTTAGCGTTATAATAAAGGGCCTTATGACGGCTCATTTGTTTCGTCTCGACTTATATTTTCAAGATATGCAATTGGAAATTGTAATTTAATCGGCTAACCTCCTCAAAACGGCGTATAAACAAATAGTGTAATTTGTTTACAAGGTTTTTCGTTAATAACTTTGCGAAGAATGAATATTTTTTAAAGCTGCTTTGATATTTGTAATATTGGTAATTTTTCACAAATTAAAAAAAAAAAATGTTCTGGGACCATTTTTAGCCGAGATAGCGTTTTTTTTTAAATTCATAACTTGTTTATTTATAAACATTAAGACTTGAAATTTTGGGAATAGATCAATCAACCCTTAAACTTCATAATAACGGTTAAAGATATCGAAAAAAAATGCATTTTATAGTAATTTTTAACCCTTTAAAAAACGTCCTCGAATACATTTTTACACCTGGAATGTGAATGTGATGAAAATTTTGCAATATCTCCATTAATTGTGGACCAATTTTAAGTTTTTTTTTTCAATCTGGGGTAGCACATGAAAATAATAACAACTGCACGGTCCATTTTGCAATAATTAATTATTAATTTGCAATGGACTATTAATTTTGTAATAAAAATGTTGTTCACATTTTTTCGAGAAATAATTATTCACAATGGTACCAATAAACAATCTTCTTAAAAAACAATATTTTTATGTAAAAAAATTCAGGAAATGACATATTTTTTATGTATAAAGTTCATTTTAATGAGAATCGAGTTTTTGCATGTAATGTGCATAAATAGTATTATTTTTTAACATTAAATTACATATTACGTATATTTTAAAACAGGTAAGTATGTAAATTAAAACACTCGATTCTCATTAAAATAAACTTTATACATAAAAAATATATCATTTCCTGAATTTTTTTACAAAAAATATTGTTTCTTAAGAAAATTATTTATTGCTACCATTGTGAAAAATTATTTCTCGAAAAAATGCGAAAAAAAATTGTTTTTTCGAAATTAATAGTTTATAACAAATTAATAATTAATTATTGCAAAATGGACCGTGCAGTTGTTATTATTTTCATGCGCTACCACAGATTAAAATAAAAACGTTAAAATTGGTCCACAATTACCGGAGACATCGCAAAATTTTCGGGCAGTTAAGATATGAAGTCTCGGAACGTTTCTGTCTTATTTCCCCCACCACATTCCAGGTGTAAAAATGTATTCGAGGACGTTTTTGAAAGGGTTAAAAATTATTATAAAATGCATTTTTTTCGATATCTTTAACCGTTATTATGAAGTTTAAGGGTTGATTGATTTATTCCCGAAATTTCAGGTCTTAATGTTAATTGATCAAGTTCTGAATTAAAAAAAATGCTATCTCGACTAAAAATGGTCCTAGAACAATTTTTTTTTTAAATTTGAAAAATTACCAATATTACAAATATCAAAGCAGCTTTAAAAAATATTCATTCTTCGCAAAGTTATTAACGAAAAACCTTATAAACAAATTACACTATTTGTTTATACGCCGTTTCGAGGAGGTTAGCCTATGAAATTACAATTTCCAATTGCATATATTGAAAATATAAGTCGAGACGAAAAAAATGAGCCGTCATAAGGCCCTTTATTATAACGCTAACAACCGCGTCTTTCCAATTGAAAAAATGCTATTTCTAATAAATAAATGCAAAAACTCGTAAACAAATAAATATTTTTTTACCAAATTTTCAGGGTTACTTAAGCGCAACAAAATACAACTTTTACTGCAGTTTAGAGACGATTTATGCTCTTTTCTTTTATTTAGAGCAAATTCAAATTTGGCTGGTTTTTTGCAATTATTTAAACAAATTCTTAACGGATTTTAATTTAGCACGTCTCAAATGAAGCGTTTTTTGAAAACCTATAAGTATAAACAAATGCAAAAACTCCTGTTGGAAAGCGCCTTTTAATACAGCTAAAAAACTCAATTTTCGGTCATATTTACATTATAATCATTGTTTAAACAATGATCTTGTTGTTTTAAACCGATACTTTTTGGGAAATATTATTTATTTTTGCCAAAACTAACGACTAAACCAAGTTTCAGTCTGAAACGAATTACCTTTTGATTTACATGTATTGCAAATTTCATTTACTGGGCTAAAATGTATTAGCAGGTTCTCGCTTGTACGCAGAACGTTTTCTGGGAAGATGAGTGCCAAACGTTGCTACCTCTGCTAAATGTGTTTACAAATCGGCGGAAAAACATTAAACAGTTGTAACATCACATAAGTAGTAATTTTTTCTTGATTCAATATCAACAATTAGGAACTTGACTTTTGCGATGGAAATATTTCGCACACCCAGATTTTTGGTACTGGAGAACATTGTTCACTTCATTTCATACAATATTTTAGAAAAACTTTTGTGAAAAAAAAGCGCATTTTTTTATTGTAGAATAATATCTATGGATATACAAGGGAACCATGTGTTCAACAGTGTCGATATATACAAAGGTTTGAGCGAGAAACAGGAGAATAAACTGGCCTCGTTGTCTGGTAGTGTGACCGACTTGTCCCCAATATTGGCCGACACTGGTAGTATGTCGGTAAAACTGGAATCTTACACCACCTACTACAAGAATTTCAAGGCGCAAGTGTACTTCACTCACGGTGGGTAATAATTCGATTAAATCCACCGCAAAGGAAGAAAATTTCAAGGAACGTCTTACGTAAATAATTTACTTTGCGTTTTAGGACCGTCTGAAGGCTGCGGCGGTACCATAAACCTTACAGAAACTAAATATATACAAGCGCCCGACCTGGAAAATCTGGATTGCGGATGGAAAATTAAGGCCCCGTTGGACCACCAAATACAAGTCCACTTTACGGAACTCGACCTACCGGGAGCGTGTACCGATAATAGCACTTCGTGTTCCTTCATAGAGGTCAGTATTAGGTACTCCGGTTTACGTGCGTTTTATTAAATTCCGATCGTAGGTACGCGACGGATTGTCGCCTTTTTCAGAACTAATAGAAAAATTGGACAGCAAGTCGAATGCGAGGCCCGAATATCGCAAGTTCAGCACGTCTTTGAATAGGTGCTATATTAGGCTCGTGGTTACGGGTCGTCGAAGCAGTGCCTTCAAAGCGATCTTGACACCGGTAATATGTAAGTAAACGTGTCTCTTACGAATTCTCAGGAGAATAAATTGCAGGATTAAAAAAAAAGTTTATTTTAACACTTGTTTAAACTCGCATATAAATTCATGCTTAAAGACCTTTTTTTTATTGTTTTCAAACTTGTCTTGTACGTTTTGATAATTTTTTTTCTTAGCTTTAAAACTGCACGTTTATTTATTTACGTATTTAATTGTTTAAAATGTCTTATATTACAGCAAAGTGTGATATTATGTGTATCCGTGAGATATAACCTACATATGTCAAATGTCTTTGCTATTCGAGGCCTACTGATATAAAGCATTACTTTGTACCTACTGCAGTAGGTCGCTCTGTGAGATATAATGCCTACAAAGCATTATTTTGTACCTACTAGTGTAGACATAATTCCTACTGACAAAGCATTACTTTGTACCTACTGCAGTAGGTCGCTCTGCGAGATATAATGCCTACTGACAAAGCATTACTTTGTACCTACTACGGTAGGTCGCTCTGTGAGATACAATGCCTACTGACAGAGCATTATTTTGTACCTACCGACAAAGACATAATACCTACTGACAAAGTGTTACTTTGTACCTACTGGTGTAATGACCTACAAGTATGTCATATCTTATTTGTCATTGCTAGTGGTAAAATGACCTACTAATTTGTAGCGGCTATGACCGCTTGATCAGTACAGATTAACGAGCAATGAGATTAACCCAAATGACATATGGCATATGCTTTGCAGGTTATATGTATCGCCATTTTCTGTCGGGTAATCTTGTTTGTAGGCCACCATAAGTATTCGACTAAATACTGTTCCTTGTGGCACGTCCGTTTACATGTCGATTTTTTTCTGTTGTAGCCAAATGTGGCCCTTCCATATTAGAAGCTACCACGGAGATAAAAACTTTAACTTCCCCAAATTACCCGGATAAATATCCACCTAATATAGCGTGCAACTGGGCGATTACCGCTAACAACTCGTGGGACGCAATCGAATTGCACTTCACAGACTTCAATCTAACGGGAAGTAGTGATAGTTCTCTCGTTTGTAACGGCGATAAGGTGATCGTAGCAGAAGATCCCGACGGACAAATCGCAACGGCAGGCGTGCAACCTCAAACGAGTAGAGCCATTTTTATGGTAAGCATCGAAATATTTTTTATAAATAAATTTTGCAACTTACCGCACGATGTCGAGTGAAAAGATTTTCGTTTTTTTTATTTGTAGGACTACAATTATTATTCAGCGAGGCATACGTTTTGCAGTAACTTAGACTCCGTTTTGGACTATTACTCAGTAAAGAATTCTGTAACGGTAACGTTTAAAAGTCTGTTATCAACGCAACAGGGCAGAGGTTTTAAATTAGAGTACAGGCTGACTGGTAAGTTTCGTATAAAGAAAACCAGCCGCTTCTATATTCGTGATTTTATAGGTTGCAACAGGAATTATACGAGCCTTCAGGGCTACGTATACTCCCCCAGACACACATCCGATTGCGTCATCACAATTAACGTGCCTGAAAATCGTACAATTTCATTATATTTTGATAGGTTTTATATTTTCTACAACGCAGCCTGCCGCGGTACAGGTTTTGAGGTGAGAAACTGCTACGCTCGTCTAAATACGTTTTAATTGGAATTGAAAACAGGTGAGAGACGGCGCACCCGACGGGCAACTGCTGTCGCATTCCTGCGGCAATCAACTTCCGGATCCAGTGTTCTCTTTCAGCAACAAATTATACCTTCACGTCTATAATATTTCGAAATATCCCGCGGCTTACGGCGTGGGGTACACATCGACGGACGCAGGCAGAGGATGTGGCGGCGAACTATACGCGTACAGGGGACGCGTGTCTAGCCCGTTGTACCCGAATCAATTCAGGAATGACATGGTTTGCAGATGGGTGATTAGGGTGCCGGTGGAGCTGTATGCTGCTTTAAAATTCCACGGTACGTAAAAATTTTTTTATGAAATAACATGAATATAAATAATATGTCTTTTGAATTCGAGTTGGAAGTAAAAGGCTCCGTTTGAGTGTGGATGAGATAATCTACAAAGCATTTACTGCAGTAGGTTGCTCTGTGAGGTATAACCTACAAATTATATGTCATTGCTACTCGATGCCTACTGGTGAAAACGTTACTTTGTACCTACTGCAGTATGCGGTAGGTTGCTCTGTGAGACATAACCTACAAATTACGTCGTCTTAAATGTCATTGCTACTCGATGCCTACTGGTAAAAACGTTACTTTGGACCTACTGCAGTACGCGGTAGGTTGCTCTGTGAGACATAACCTACAAATTACGTCGTCTTAAATGTCATTGCTACTCGATGCCTACTGGTGGTAAAAACGTTACTTTGGACCTACTGCAGTACGCGGTAGATTGCTCAGTGAGACATAACCTCCAAAGTAAATGTCATCGCTACTCGACATTGATATTTTTTCACCCACATTCAAACCATTTTGGTAGTTCGACATTCATATATCTTCTTAATAAAAAAGAACTACTGAAAACTTTCGGGGATCTTATTTTTTAGATGCTATAAACTTGAAAAATTAATTATTAGGCCTCGTAGCTTTTTAAAAACGGAGAATCTTTTCAGCTTTCGACATTCAAGGCAGTTGCGACCAGACGTACGTCAGGATAACGACGTATTTAAATAACAAGCTGATTCGCACGTTCTGTCAACACGTAAGTTAGACGTATGATAATTCCGACACGCACGAGTCACCTTGATATTGTTTCAGGATAATCCGGCCATCCTGCGGTCCAATTCTCGGATCGACATCGAATACAGCTCGTCGACCCACAACGGCGGAAAAGGCTGGCTGGCAGGATTCCTAGGGCTGGAAAGCGGTAAGTCACGAATAAAATAACGTTTACGTTGTTTTTAACACGATCGATTTCAGAAACTGCTGACGTGCGTTAGGGTGGCGGCACAACCGAATTATTTTCACGATGTATTTTAAAGTGAATTGTAAATATTGTGTAATAATAATAATAAAAGTATCGATTTCATCACAGAACATCTAAATCGTTACGAGGGATCAAAAGGAGAGATTGGTTGGGTTCAGAATGAGAGACTGGCGTTTCGTAATAAATTTTTATTGTAATACACTTAAGTTTAACAAAATCCTCTATTGCAGAAGCTGGTTGAATAAAATGCACTAATTTAATACATAAGTAAATAATAATGAAGAGTACCTACACAAAATGGTGGCTCGTGCACTTAAAACGTGTGTACTACAAGTGCTATACAAAATTTGTGCCGACACTTTCTTGCGAGAGCCGGACGAACGAAACGTTGCAAATTAGCACGTCAACACATTTGACCCGACGTTTCGATCGCCTCGTTTTTAAACGTCTCGCGTTATGGCAATAGAAAAGAAACATTTTAAAAAATATATAATACATTGATTTATTCCTAACTCGCAACTACCACTCTCGGATGGCGCGGCATAACAGTAATATCCATAAAAGTAATTTATATTTAAAAATGGACCGCTTCCAACATTTTCTTTATTGTCTCGCGTTGGGCGTTGCCAATAAATACGTTCTAGATTTCCTAACTACGCTCAGTTCAATGATTTACTCTCGGGTTGCCCTAGATAACAGAATTGCAATGAACTTCGACCAGAAATACAGACATTATCTAATACATAATTTAGAACTGATATGTTCAGGGCAAAAACCCCAATTTTTCTATTAACACGACTCAGAAAGTTACATCCCGCTTCTGATCTGTAACGAAGTTCATCGCGCTAACAAAAACTGTGTATCACATAATTCACCACTGCTCTCCAAAACAGCTAAAATCACTTTATTACATTCATTGATAAGTTAGAGAGAATTCAGTGACATCCTGCAACAATAAACGGGTTTTGGATCGTGTTAAAAGTATGAAGATCTACGATTATATCTAAAATATGTAATAACATCGATAAATGGCTCTGACACTTTCAAATCCTGACAACTTTCTTTACTATTAGCCTAAAAAAGATATATCGATTCAACTAACAACTTATGTATAAAACGGATTACACGCGTGGAGTCGTAGTACTTCCAATGGAAACGGTAAATGTAAAATTTCACAATCTACTCTTCCATTCAACTATTACGACTTCACACACGCACCGACGCAGTCCAAAAAAGATCAAACGGCTACACGGAACGTACGAAACTTGCAATCGCTTTACTTAAAAGAAGTGGATATGTACAGAACTGGATAACTATAAACTATTATTGTACCCTTGATTGTTACACTTGAAAAAAAAATTGTATTATATACACTTATGGGATGGCGTACCTACATTCATACAAATACTAGAGTTATCAGTGGAACAACAGGGACTGCCCCATCTGGTTGGGCGGCGGATTCACGGCTCCAACGCCCTGCATCGGAGCCATCATCATGGGATTCACCGCCATGGGACGCATACCCTGTCGAAATAACCTTAATTAGAAGAAAGTATAAATTTTTTAATGCTATACGGGAAATCCACGGTATAAATGCTATATGTGCATCGAAATACCTCAAAATAAACGGAAAGTCTTAGGCGAGGTAGGTCTGAAGTTGAGTCTATAAATACATTTAAAAAAAACATTGTAAATATCTAAAAACGAATAATGTTCATGAAATATAACCTACTTCTTAAATGTCATGCCTACTGCCATATCGCATTAGTTTGTAGGTCGCTCTGTGAAATATAACCTATAAAGTATATGTCAAATCTTAAATGTTATTGCTGCCCAATGCCTACCGGCACAAAGCATTGATTTGTACCTACTGGCAAAGAGACCTACTAGTCTGTAGGTGCTACAGAACCTGTTTCATATACATTAGAGTGGCCCAAAAAAAACGAATATTTTTTTTTCGTGTCTTGTGAAAATACGTTATTTTATCATGTTTTAAGAGGCCTCTCAAAAAATCAGCTCAAAAAAAAATTTTTTAGAGGTCGCTCAAGATATTTAAAAATTTTCAATATCATTTTCAAAAATAGAATTTTTTTTTAAATTTTTTTTTCTCGTTATTTTATCATTTTCTGGATTGACATATGGCACTTACACTGCGGACCTATACAGATTTACTTCTCTAATCTCTACAAAAGACAGTGTTGGCATATAAATCAGGTGTGTGAGGAGGTCACCGGAGACAATGACCTTCTTTTTTTTACCGTTTCAACACCTACTGTTTAATCGACTTACCAACATTGGCTGGGTGTACATCTGGGGCTGCACGGGGGCCGTCGTCATACTACTAAACGGCGAACTACTCATCGACTGGTTCATTGGCTTGTACCCGGCGCCCGTCGTAGCGGATATCGGCTGTGGGCTCCAGTTGCTTCCCTGTTTCGAACCGTTCTTAGGCGAGTTCCACTGTACGCCCCTATTAAAAAAAAAATTGAACGATAAATTCCTAGGAAGCCTTCAAGTCACGATCGTTACGTTTTCGGCAGACTTTAACTTGAATTTCAGCCGTACGGTCTCAACAAACTATTACGTCCAACGATTACTTGAATTTATAAATCGCAAAGCGCGCAACTCGAAAAACGACTCAAATATCGTACAGAAACGGGCTGAAAATGACATCGTTTTTTTTTCCAAAAGGTACCGAAACGTGTAAATACAACTTACTTCACCGGCACTGCCCTGTTGTTTATCGTGAGGTTTTCGGCGAGCGAGGCCAGGCTGGATTCCAGGTCTCCGGTCAGGAGACCGTTGTTGGAGGGCGGCTGGTTATTGTTGTTGTTGGCATTGTTATCGCTGGGATACGTCGAGTTATTGCTGGCTGGCCCGCTGGCGTTCATCGGCTGCAGGACTCCCCCCAGCGCGTCGAAGTTACTCCCTGAGAGCGAAATAATAATCAATACCGGAGCGTACAAGTTAAAAACGCAAGAATCGTATGAATAAGCACAACCGAAAATCTGCCAGTTTAAAAAACCGTTCAATATCAACAGCTACAGAGGTAAAAGGGTACTCTTGCAGTTTATCTCTCAAAATCAAAATTAAAACGAACTATTTTGCAAATCGTCCTCCCGTAAAAATTCTTGTATACTGGTTTTTAAGATATTTTTTTAGAGACTAGTGAATTTACACAATGAAAAAAAAATCACTAATCCTTTATCCGTGTTTTGGAAAAAGGCGCCATAAATTCAACAGCCAGACGATCAAACAAATTAATCTTCTTCGTATCATGAACCCTGTGGGTCCAAAAACGATCTTCGAGTCAAGTCATAATTACTTTTTTAGAATACACTTCAATTTATTAAACTTTAACTCATGAATTTACAACAGGATTATCGGCAACCTGCAATGCGTGTGCAGGGAGATAGTGTGGGTCGACGGTGACCAAGTGAGGGATTCAGTTTCAGTTCTTTGTTCTTCCGCATTTGAAATAAGTACATTTAACTGTGACTTTGTTGATATCCTTGTCCCATAAACGCTCCAAATGGAGCCATTTTTTAACCAAAATCGAAATTTTCAAAACGGACATATCTTGTGACACAATTTTAAAAAAATACGCGCCTCTAAGAAAAAATTACCGTTTTTCTTATGATTCTACCAGATTTATGGCACCTCTTTGTCAGCAAATTTGAGAAAATTCAGTCCCTCGAACCATAACGACAAGAAATACACAGGGCATGCACTAAGCACACAATACCGTGAGAACACAAAAAAAGCGAACTAAACACCGAACAGGCTACACCAAAATTCACCTGAGAGATGCTCTAAAGCACCTGCAACTACGCATAGTCCACCAGAGAACACACACTTACACATCACCATTACGTCGTACGAGTCAACTACATCTCTACATATAAAATTATTGTCGGGGAACAGAGACGGGGATATCAAAGTTTGGATTGGGGAAGCGACGACGAAAAACGAAAATCAGACAGTTTTGACGGGATCAGTCTTATCTTGTACGGCAGTGTCGGTGTCGGGACTGCAAACGTCCGAGACGTACTGTTTTTGGAAGAAATCGAGGACCTTAAGGATGGGCGTGTCGGATTTCGTGGGAGAGTCCATGTCGAGTAGGGAGGGAGTGGTGTCCTCCACCAGAAAGGGGTTAAAGGAGGCTTTTGTCTCTCCGGCAGCTTGCGGAAAAAACAGAAAGCCGATTAGTTACATGTAATCGACGGAAGGACAGAACAAGTGAATAGAAATATTTAAACAAGCTATTTGTTAGAGGATGCTTCAAATCGTTCATTTAGCCAGTCTTTAACTATAAATTATTATTAAGGCGTATTTTGCAACAAATTAAACGTAAGCATTCGTTTAAATCATTTGAAGCACCTTGCTGAAATATAAAATTATTTTACAGTAAAACATAGTGCAGGTAAAAAAAGTAGGAAAGAAATGTTAAAATCACAGTCTCGACTGCTTTTTTACCTGTAAAATTCTTCGGATAAAAAAACAACATGAAAAATGTGGATCAAAGAAAGTTTTCTATTACAGAACGTTTTACTGGTCCTTCGAACCGGATAATAACGTAAACATCGAGTCTGACAAAAAGCGGACGAAAGGTGTTTGTGCCGACAAAAAAAGTTTGTGCAACACTAACATGCCCAAAAATTCAGTTAGGGAAAGCTCGTCGGCTCAGTGAGATAAACAGTGGTGTGGTGTAGCGATTAAAGATCGGCGCCACTTACCTTTAGCGTCGCTATTCCCGAATACAGAAGCGAAATTATTCTCGGACACGAAAGATCCGTTGGATATCACAGGGTTTGTCACAGGACTGACAGCTCCATAACCTCAAATAAACAACGACATAAAACAAAAAGCCACCTTTTCAATTGCGAAAAGTAGCAACTTTCGGTTCATCGAACACTATTTGCTCCGTAACTGCACACTTACCATTTCCATTCGCCATCCAGATGTTATTCTGTTGCGGGGGTAAGAAGGGCGAATGGTTGGCCGCCGCGGGCTGGGGCTGCGAGAAGGCGTCCGAGAAGGGGTTCGACAGTTGCAGGAGGTCGTCGGACGCCTTCGGTTGCGGTGGTTCGACCTCGATTGCGAAGAGATCCACCGCAGGGGTAGAAGTGGCCTGCGAGGATACCGTGGTGGAGGAAGAGGAGTTGCTCAGGAACGGGTTGTTCGCCGTGGACGGAGATAACTTCGCCTTGAACCGATTAATCGCGGCTTCCTCTTCGGCCAGGATCTGCAACTTGAGGTTCTCGTCGATCCCGTTGGGCGGCGCATCGAAGCGACCGTTCGCCACGACATTTCCGAAAGCGTTACTGGTAGTCGACAGAGCCGTTACAGCCGACTTGACGTTCTTTTGGTTGTTGTTGCTGGAAGAGATATAATTCAACGTTATTGTGAAGAAACTTTAACGGGGACTAGGTATCACCTTTGTGCTTGTGTGGAACCACCGCTGGACGATTTTTTCCCTTCTACGTAGTTCAGGTGCTGTTCTAACGCGTCGAGGAGGCTACTGGGGGCCTTCGTGAGATCCGGTATGTCGCCCTTGTCGATTCCGACATTCTGGAATTATTACTACGGATTAGTTCAACGACGGGAAGAACAATACTAGACGGCGCTCCCATAGAATCCGTATTACTTACCTCCGCTACTTTCAAGAACTCCGCCACCTTATCCATCCTTATCAGAAACTTCTTATAAATATCTAAGGCTTCTTTGCATTGCTTCTTGTTCATATCAAAAAATTTCTCTAGGAGGGAAATAAACGATAAAAAGTGAAAAACGAGCAATTAAATGACTCACCTAACAAATTAATTATACCATCATTGTAGCAGGCGAAAAGCCTGATTAGATCCCTAAACAGTAACATGAAGGACATGTTGATGACGCCGTTGGTGAGATCGTTGGCTGAGCAGTCGAATTCTAGGAGGGCGTCCAGTTGGTTTTGGAGAACGGGGAGGGTTTTGAGTAGCTTGTCGGAGTTCATCGTACGCAGCATGCCATCTTCCTTCCTACAAGAAGAAACTGATACTATTAGTAAAGATCTCATTTTAACCACAGTCATTTTAAATATGAAGGACGTGGAATTTGTAGTGAATAAAATTAAAAATCCACATCCGATAAATGGAATAAAACCATGTAATTTTATGTGATTAGAAAACTAAGACTTTTAAAAGGTAGCAAAAATATTGGCCCTGTACCAATTCGTATTGCACAAATCCAGAAACAGTCTGCAGGAGCATAGGCTTCTTGCCCCTACGGCAGTTACGTGTTTTGCTATTTCTTTGTTTAGTTTTTTTTGCAATTGTAAATGGTACTTATAGCTCAGTATATGACAGTATTTTAAAAATCAATAGAGGGATGATTCTAAGCAAAAAATGCTCTATAACGTTTTTTCCAAAAATTAATATTTTCCGAGTTATTTGGGATTGAAAATGTTGATTTTTCATCTGAAAAGTGTATGTTTTTCAACCATTTTTGATAAATAATTCGAAAACCTTACGTTCTATCGAAAAACCCATATAAAGCAAAAATAAAGCTTTTGAAATAACGAATCGATTCATTGTTTGTTGATTACCGTAAATGTAATAATAACCGAGTTATCACACTCTAAAGGTGATTGTTTATTTTTCGGAAAGTAAAATCGAACCTTTTACCGTAAAATAATGACGAAAGAACTAATTTTTCGAAGAAATTGAATACAACCTTTTTTAAAGTGCTTGGAAAGACCTTTAAAATGCTTTTTGAAAAAATTTCGGAGCTCAAAAACTCGCGGAGTTATGATGAAAATAAAATGGTCATCTCATTTTTTCGGAGAAAAAATCAACAATAAAATCTATGGCTGAACCATAAAAATAGAAATTAAGCGTAATCCATGTATAGTTGACAATATTTAGGTGCTAATAATAGGCTCTGCAAGTTTGACCGGTTTAGAATGCCTAAATTTAAAAAAAGTTTGAAATAAGGAAAAAAAAAATTTTTAATTTAAAAAATCCTATTTTTCGAAATAACAAGATAAGTGATTTTTTGTAATATTTATGCTCTTTCAATTATCTGTAGAGCAAAAATTAACTGAGAAGAAATAAAAATCTTTCATTCATTATAAATGATATGTGAAAAAAAATTTTTGCTTTAATTTCTGCAGTAAGGATGGTTTTTAAGGGTTGAAACGTTGCAATAAATCATGTATTATTTCATAAACAGTAAAAAATATTCAATTCTTCGTTATTGCTCCGTCAAAACATTTCAGAGCCGCGAAAACTAATTTTTGTTTTTTTTTCCTCACAAAGGGTAGATTTTAAGGGTTGAAATGTTGCAATAAATCAAAAATTATTATTCAAAACATAAAAGAATGCTTAAATCTACGGTTTTTACGTTTTTTGCAAGAAGAGGTAGTTTTCATCCCCTAAAATCAATAAGCACACATTATGGATATGAAACTTTTGTAAAGGAGGGTGAAATGAGCTTACTCGCCAATTTTCATGAATATCGGTCCGTGTGTCAAAAATTCGGAGGTAATACCCTATTTCTACCTATTATAATTATTGTTTTATGTATTTTAAAGTATGTTAAGACTTCAATACTAGTTTTCCAAGACTACTTACCCTCTTTTGACTTTACAAAAATCGAAGGCAACGGTTCTGTAAGACAGAGCCTTTTCGTTCAAGTATCTGGCGTATCTTCTGATGAACGGGGACATATCGTATCCTAAAATAAACGGCTTTTTACAAACAATGCTGGATAAACAGACGCAATCCCCAGCAGAAAAGGCAAAAAATGTAAGAAAAAACGATGAGACGATAATCAAATCGATCAAACTGTGAATGATCCATAGAAAGGACTGCCAAAGAACCGATTTATAACCAGCGTTCAAATAAAAACGTGGTCAAGTTGGTTCTGAAAATTTGGACGTAGGGCGTAGCGTATAGCAAATGAACTTAAACGTCTTCTGTCAAAGCGCTGTATCGCCGCTTTGTTATTGAAACTGACAGCTGTTATACAGCTCGTTGAGAAATGAGGTTAAGTTGGTCGCTATAAGCTACGCCCTACGTCCAATGTGTCAGAGCCAACTTCAACCACGTTTTTATTTAAACGCTCGTTATTTTCGTTTCGATTTACATAAAAAAAATTAAATAATCCTCTATAAAACAGTACCTCAGCACCGGCTATTATCGACAAGGTCGCTTTCTATTATAAATAAAATCCAACAAGGCCATTAAATTTGTCTTTTTCAATTCGTCATTGCTCGTTGGATATTTTGTTGATGTTTTGAACACCAGATCATGTCTATGAATCACCCACAATTGGTTTGAATATGTTTTAATGACATTCACATAGAAGAAAACAACCAGTAAGGCCATTAAAATAATCGATTAAAAACTATTCTACGCGTGAAATCTATTAAGTGTCCCTAATAATTTAATGGTTACTTTTTTAATAATGAAATAGAATTCTGAAAGAGATCCTAGAATGTTAATCACAATTTTTACACTCGCGTGTACGTTTAGGCAAATACCAAGGGTAATATATTTAAGTGTTATCGCGACAGGTCGTGGAAAAAAACACATTCATATTGTCTGAAACCAACAACTCACACGCACGCACAAAGCATATTCAATGAGCAACTGAAAGTTTTAAAAATATCAGCGATACGAATTTAATCCAACAAATTGTTAGCCACAATAGGTTAGTTAATGTTAAACATTTCGGGAAGCTAAGGCATCGGTTAGTGTGATTTTAATAGGATCGACATACAGGATGAGTCAAAAGTCAAGCCACTGGACCGGAGGACCAAATTTAGGAATATTTCCGATTTTAATGCTTGACACACCCTGTATGACCTACTTCAGACAGCACAGAGCACAGTTAGTAGATAAAACAAGCCGAAATAACGAACTGTCGATAAACGTACAAAAATACCGGGCTTATTATAAAAGACAAAGTATTATTTTTAAAACTTTCGCGATGTATGATACCTACCTCTACCAAATCTAAAAACTACGTAAATAGTGCAAAGCTAAAACCCTACTTGTGTTAAAAACCACTTACCAGCCCTAACACTTAGGATCCCTGATGAAATCGAAAAGAAAAACAGTTTTTATTAATTTTATTTACATTTACAACAAATACATATTAATTCTGTTAGACGTTACTTGATATTCAAAATATCGTTGGGCGCCAACGTATATGTAATTATTTGCTTTTGGATTTTGTGAAAACATCTCTCTATAGTTAATTATTTGTTAGTTCCAAATTATATTTCCACAATCGTTCTTAAACGAATCTGGGATCAAGTAACATCTAACAAACTGGCGTCAGTAAAAAACAACCACTTTAAGAACCACTGAATAGGTTAAGTGGACGATGGGACGTCAGTAGGCGATGCCCACTGAATGGATTGTATTAATAGAAAAAAAAATCTAATCATTGATCGATCAGTAGGCTCACCTTGAACTCCACTCTTATCCAGGAAATTGCTCAGCTGGAACGTGCTATTGCTGGATGCCAGGAACTGGGTGAATCTCTGAAAGGAAGTATTTTGTTAATGACAGCAGACTCACGCAATTATGAATCTCTTGCATGACTTTTGGTCAAATGAACGCCCCTGTAATAAAGTCCCTTCTTTTCTAGTTCTCAAAAAACAAAATTGCTCACTTATCAACCGAATGTGTGTTTTCGAATAGAAATTGTACTTTCAGTTTCCTGCAAACTGAACAGCACCCATCAATTTTCCGCGACACTAACCAAACAAAGGATACGTGCCGGTTACCGTCATAATATCGAAGAAAAACAAGAAATCTGGGCAGGTAATTGCAATTATTACCGGGAGTCAATAAGGTATACTTACTTCATTTCCATAGCACATCATGTGGTGGACTGTGACGAGAGCCTTGTACACCACGACCCAGTTCGTGTTCTGGGACCTTTCTATCAGCAAATTTGCCAGTTGCGGGATCGACACGTTGGGCTCATTCGTACAGTGGACCAAATCTGGAACAGAAGAGTCCTTTATGTCACATCATCATGGTTTTGCCGATGGTCATTCAAAAACATGACTATTAAGCACAAATAACTGTCGCATCCAAATTCCTAATAAATATTGGTTTCGTCATCTTAATGTTCTACCTAAATTTCCCCACAAGAAATAATCTAGGGGTGTCAAATCAGGCGATCTGGCTGGCCACTCAATCGGCCCCCTTCTCCCTATCCAACGATTCGGGAACAGCTCATCTAAATAAGCACGGACAGGTGTTGCACAATGAGGAGGTGCACCATTTAGTCGATTTTTACATAATCATTATCATTTTCAGTGTTGTGAAAATTAAATTTTAAAATCTTTAAACATTATTTTCTTGAAATTTTTGTTATGTAACACCATAATTTTTCATGATCTGTGTGTATGTAGAATGACGCGCTCTTTCAAATGGCATGGTCAAAATTGGGGGTTGCTATTTAAAAAAATTGTCGATGACGTCATATCTCGAACAACGATGACGTCATTCTTTCGTGATAAAACAAGTCATACCTAACCACCGTATCGATTACAGCCCAGATCCAATCTACGTGTAATTAAATTATTTGTAGAATAAGTAGAGGAGTTATTGGGGCGAAATATAAGCCTCGATATCGGATAAAATCGCTCGACGCCCATAGGGCGGCGTAAATCGGATTGCGCTTCGTTAATTATTGCGAGATCAAGTGGAAAATTAATAAATGAGGACGATTATAGTCCGGGGGATTTACTGAGCGCGCGTGCACCCGATTATAACTGAATATTTCTGTAATATCGACCCGATAGTTCAAAAGTTGCGGACCAAATATCGGTCATAATTAACTTTGACCTAGACATAACATCCGTTAAAATTTAGGACAATAAAACAATAAATGACGCCGCGTAGTGATTTTCCTAAAGGACTATGGCCAAAATTTCGCGCATTGCGAACCAAAAATGTTTACACCACCAGCCGAAGCGGTATCGTTTTCGCGATAGCGGCCAAGAAAACAGGCAGTCCAAGGCACGCGCGATAACAGAAACAAAAACAAGTCTGGCTGACACCCATACTGGAGATAACGCGGCGATACGGGATCCGTCCCAGCAGGAACGCCCAGCGTATCGTGTATCGAGGGACGGGTTAGCGATAATTAGCTGATGAACACATTAGCGGTATTGAATTTGCTTTAGGCGGACGCCCGCAAAACCTTGATGCTGCGCTTCAACTATGCCTGTCCAAAAATAAATATTGATGCTTTCTCGATAAGTTCAACTTTATTATTTAAATATTATCCAATAAAGAAACGGACTTATAGCTTTTAGACAAATATTTTGTTCCAGAATAGAGTGTTTACAGCATAAAACTAAATATAACAATTTAAATATACAACAGGAACATATAGTCCGGTCAAATCAGTCATAAAAATAGTGGTCAAATAACAAAAATTCCGACAGAGCTAAATTTTGGTGGAGACCTTGAGTACACCATTAGAAATAAAATCTCAAAAGTCCCCACCGATCCCATGTGTGCCAAAAAAGTTATTCGGGGTCAAAGGTCAAAATTTGAGGTTTTTTGGATTTTTTTCGAAAACGGTAAGTTTTATCAAAAAAGTAGCTCGGACAAAAATTATAGATCTGAAAATTATCTACAAAAATGGTGCTAATACTTTTTTTTCTAAGAACCACCATTCCTGAGATATCGCGATTCTAAAAGTTGAAGGAGTCGCGTTCTACAAGATATGCATATACAGGGTCGGAAAGTCCCCATGGTTCATCGGCCGTTACCTGAGAGCGATAAAGTAAGTCATAGAAATCCGTGCGGTAGAGAAAGACGGCTATAATGAAGGCGTCTAATAGTCACCGCCCATTTCGCCCTTCCACAAATAAGATCCACTTCTTATTTGTGGATTTCAGCTATTAGAATCGCGATATCTCAGACACAAATATCATAATCAAACGTAAGTAAAGGCAGGAAAACGGTAGAGCAACATTCTCTCCGTTTCATAGCACCCTGTATTTCATAAACTTGCGGGTCTTTGAGACCTAAAGGCGATACACTCAGCGATACATATACAGGGGCGAATTTCGTGCTCGATCCATACGAAAAATTCGCACTTGTGCGGGAGAAGGCGCGGTAGCGTACTATTATGATCGGAGATCGAAGCTGGCCACCGCAAGTGCACAGATAAGTCGCTCGCTACGCCTGGTGCCTCGGCCGGTTCCCACGGCGCTTACGCGGTCTTGGCTGACGAACCACGGACTCTGAGGCACCGTCTATTCAGCTGGAACGACACCGACGGGTCTAAGGAGGCAGAAGGGGCGGCAAATCGAGTGTTTCGATGCTTAGTCAGCCGTCAAATGGTTGGACTGACCCGCGGCGTTACATAGCGTTAACCTTTCCGGCAGAAGGAATGCGTCTCCGACGGTTGCGGGGACCTTTTGTGTATTCTACGAAGACGAGTAGCCCGATTAGACAGATAATTCCAGTAGTGCTACTTTGCGAGGTCTGAGGTTTGTTCAACTGTGTAAAATCTGCCATTGTCTTAAAAATATATACTGGAATAAAAATAGGTCCGTTTTTTTAATAGAAAATAGCCAGTCTGGTCGATTTGCGCTCTTAATTTCTGCGGATGGACTTTTTTACTAGGCTTTGGGTGTCCCTAGCGCCAAGGTCGTGGCACCGATCTACATACAATTAACCCAGACCCATATGGTTAACAATCGCCCGAATTAGCTCTACTTAAAATGATAAATCATATTTTATTGCACGTATTAAAACCAGAGCGATCTGCGTTGGTGTGATATGTCTATTATCTATATCTTGCAGCCATATGGTATGCTAGTGCAGTAATCCGTACATAGTAACTGTTTTTCCACAAATTTCAAGGCTGCGCAATAGTGGCTTATTGATTCCTTTTATGACGATAAACGGACGTAAATAAAAAGCGGTCACTATGAGGTTATTTGTCCGATTTTAACAAAAATAGTTTACTTTAATTGCTAAAGATTTCTGATCCCGGTAGTCCAAAAAGACTTGACAAATCTTTCACTATTTCTCAAGCGTTGTCAAATTTCGCAAACACTTTTTACCATTCCAAAAAGTGAAAAGCATCCTTATGTAATTTGCTTCGTACGAATCTACAACAGTTTTTTTTAATTTTATGACCACAGTTCTCTCTAGATTTATGCGAAACACACAATCTGCATATTTTTTCACCTTACAGACACTTAAATATCCATTATACAAATCCAAATGTGATGAATACAACAATTCAAAAAGACAATATCGCGATTTCTCCTCATTTGCATATTTTTTGTCGATACTTTACTTTATATCAATTACGCAACGCAATTTCCATGTGAATATAAACCTTGGGGCGAAGTGGAACTTCATTATCGATAGTTTAATATACTTTGTACTATGATATATAAATATTAATATGTACTCGCAATAAAAAACAATAATATGGTGCCATATTTTCCTCGCTTCTGCACGTTTATGACTGTTTAGAAAAAATTACGAATAAATAATAAGGTTAAATGTTGGAAATCTGAAAGAGCTAAATTTATTAAAAGCGATTTGGAAAATTATAAAGTATAGCTTCTATTACGGGAAAAAAAAATGAATTACATAATTTAATCGACATTTCGCGGTCACTCTGAACATTTATTCAATATCGACTTCGAACCAACTTCCATCGAATCCAGTCGCAATTCCAGGAAGGGACAATATCTTTCATCTGTCGCATATCTTACGAAGTTCGCCAGACAATCTAATTAACCTCGCACAATTAACCCATCGCAAAGGGTCAGGGGTTCCGTTCGAACAAAGACGTATCCAGGACGATTGAATGCAGCCACCACAGCTAGTGCATCGCGAATTTGAGTTGATAATAGTAATAATTGTAGGCTTCAGATCTTTTTTTATACCGCAATGAACAACTGTCAGTGCTATATAAGAGACGACATCTAATGGTGCACCTACAAAACTATCAACAATAGTGGAAGATTTAGTAATTCATCAATAAAGAAGCTACGCGGATGTAAGTTTTTTCTATAAAAAAAGTCGACTACGTGGACAAAATGTAGTAAAAAAATGGACTGACGAGAGTTTATATGACATTAGAGGCAGCGATTAGTTATAAAACAATTGATACAATTTTACTTCTTTAAGAGGCCTTGGAGCCTTAAAAGAAATGATTTATACGATAACTCCTTCATTTTTCATGATATCTTGGGATAACGGTAGCTTTGTCGTAGGTGATCAAATAAGAATGTCTGTTTATCCCCCTGTGTGTATTTTTTCTATATTTCTTAAAACGCATATGTTATTTCAACCGCCATGCGCAATTTGGTTTATTTAAGAAACTTAAAAATGCCTCGTACAGCTGCCGCACTGGGTATTTTTATTGTAAGACCTAATTTTTATGTTTAGTCCGTATAAAGTTGTATGTGGCCGACAACTTTAAGAAACTGTTACTGTTAAATAAAGCACAAGAAAATGAGATGCTGCTAAAATAATTTCACACAAAAATGTCAAACCTTAGTTATCAATTACTAACAGTGTAGTATTTGACGGTATAAGTTAAGCAAATTGATTTTTTTTTGATAACTCGGTAGACAACAGACGATGACTCTTAAAGTAATCTACCACGACACTTTCTCGACATAAATCCAAACCCGCAACGGCCCCAAGTATGATCCCTGTGGCGCACAGCGCCACATAACCCCCTATTCGTCTGCTATTACGAACTATTTACATTGAATAAAAAACCTATTACTACTGAAACTCTTGGTATATACCGGTTACAATCTCATTATTCGGTTAACTGTAAAACTTCTGGGAATTCTCCGAAGCTCATCTCGTTATACCCGAAAATCCTTCAGAGACAATAACCTTGGCTGAGTGGCTTTTTTTATCGGTAGCCTGTTATTGCTTTCTAATAGCTGATATCCGTTGGCTGGTCGATTGAAGGAGAATTTGCCGTTAGTCGAGTAG